ATAACAAATAAACATGATGATCTCGTCTAGAGTAAATAAACAATGATGGATCGCAACAAGAAGCATGCAAACCCAACTCAGTAAGTTTAGTGCTAAGCTGAGAGAACCATGCTCGTGGAGCCTGTCGAAGCCCATAAAGAGCTTTGGATAATTTGCAAACATGAGAGAGACGATCAGCATCCTCAAAACCCTTCAACTGTTGCATGCAAATATTCTCAATGACAAGCCCATTGATAAAGGCATTGTCAAAATCCAGTTGGCGAATATCCCACTATTGAGAGATCGCAAGGGACAAGATAGTGCATATGGTGGCCGGTTTAACAACAGGGTTGAAAGTGTCAAAAAAATCAACCCCTGGTATCTAGGTGAAACCTTGAGCTACCAAGCGGGCTTTACTGTGATCCATAGATCCATTTGATTTTTGTTTAATTTTATATTCCCACTTAGAACCAACAACATTCATGGAGGGTTGATGCGGTATAAGCTTCCATGTCCCATTTTCTACTAGAGTACCAAACTCTGTTGCCATGGCATCACGCCAATGTTTATATTTGGAGGCTTGTAGTAAGAAGTGGGTTCAAATTCAGTAGTCGCCACTATAGAGTTAAAACAAAGAGGTACATGATACCGAGTAGCAACAGAAGCAAATGGAGAAGAAGTTGAGCTCATGGAACGAGTCACTATAGAATGGGTGTGAGCTAGAGGAACAGGAACCGGCTGAGTGGTATCCAAGATCTCTTGAACCAGTCGAGTGCGCTGGCGAACTCAAGGTGAAGAGCCCGAGCTAACCGGGCTGGGATCAAAAGCCATAGAAGCAAACCCAAAAGCAGATAAAGTAGGTGACGTCAAATGTGAGGGAGAGTGCGAGATTGCAACTGGTGGAGTTGTTGGACTCTGTACCAAAACTGTATAAATTGGAAGAAGTGAAACTCCGTCGGTGCTAGATATTGGATATGATGTCGGCGATGGTACACCTGGAAAGTATTGCTTGTCGAAGACAACATGGCGACTGATATACATGCAACTAGTTTTCACATCATAGCAGTGATAACCTTTGTGTGAGGAACTATAACCCAAGAAGATGCAAAGAGAGGATCTGAATTCCATATTGTAACGATTTTATGGTCATAGAAAAGGATAGCAAGTGCAGCCAAAAGTGCAAAGTAGAGAGTAATCTGGTGGCTGGTCAAAGAGAGTTTCATATGGAGACTTGCCGTTGAGTGTTGGTGTGGGGAGGTTATTGATCAGAAATACTGTAGTTTCAGTAGCACTGGACCAAAAAATCTGAGGGAGAGAGGAGGATGCCAATAGGGTGAGGGTGGACTCTATCACGTGTTGATGCTTGCGTCAACAATACCATTCTATTCATGAGTGTATGGGCAGGCGAGCCGATGTCTAATGCCTTGTGAGTCGAGATATTGTGCGAGCTGTCGGTATTCTCTTCCCTAGTCAGATTGAAAAAGTTTAATTTTTACATCAAATAAATTTTCAACATGCCTTTTAAACTTAAGAAAAATGTCAAATACATCAGATTTTTTATGCATGGGAAAAATCCAAGAAAATTTTGAAAAGGCATCTACAAATAAAACATAATATCTAAAGCCACTACTAGAACTAGAAGCAATTGGGGCAAGTCATACATCAAAATAAACTAACTCTAATGGATGACTATAAGAAGTAGAAGATACTAAAAGTGAAAAATGATGACTTTTGCCTAACTAACATGCACTGCACTTGTGAACTAAAAAAACCACTGTACGGAAGACCAAACCGTGAAAGAACATTTTGAACAATTCTGGTAGAAACATGCCCAAGTCGATGATGCCAAACTTGAACTGAGGCTTTTTCTCCAACAAACGCAATAGCACTACTAGGTGAAGAAGATGGATCAATTGTTGCTGAAGTAGGAAACTGAAAGAGTCCACATTTATTGGGTCCTTAAAGTAGTACTATCCCCGTATGGTCCTTCAAGAGAAAATAAGATGGATGAAATTCAAAAATAACATTGTTATCATTAGCAAATTTGTTGACTGATAGAAGATTTTTTTTGTATTTGATGGAACATCATAAATATCTTGCAAATGAAATTGGTGGTCACCATGAAAAATAATAGAAGAACCAATATTTTTAATTTGTAAACATGTGCCATTACCAATTTTCACCTAATCAAACCCACCATAGTTTGATCGAATCTAAAGGTTATCGAGTTTGTGGGTAGGAGATCTAAACTCTAAGATTTTACCAAGTGTTAGCATGGAAATGAAGCAAAAATGTATCATTTCAAAATTTCTCCATCATTGACATCAATATTTGATTATGGGGTTGCAAGAAAGTGGTTGCACCAGATGCAAACTAATATTCATAGCTACAATTTATTTTTGCAGATGAAATTGGTGGTGAGAAATAACAGAACCAATATTTTTAATTTGCAAGCCTACGCCATTACCAATTTTCACATGATCAGACCCACCATAGTTTGATCGAATCTGAAGGTTATCGAGTTTGTGGGTAGGAGATCCAAACTTTGAAATTTTACCAAGTGTTAGCATGGAAATGAAGCAAAAATGTATCATTTCAAAATTTCTCCATCATTGGCATCAATATTTTATTACGGGGTTGCAAGAAAGTGGTCACACTAGATGCAAACTAATATTCATAGCTACAATTTATTTTTGCTAGCTAAGAAAGATAATTTCTTTAGAGAGGCAATGGCATTTCATGCTAGAAACCCAATATAGGCATTTTGACATGAAACTTGTTTGAAACATACTTAGCTAACTACACTAAAACAAGTATTTTGAGCAGTATTATATTTGGTATTAGCATTGCCCCATCATTAAGACTTTGAGAGCCAAAAAAATTGGTGCAAAAATGTGGGCCTCATCATTAAATGCCTTGAATTTTCAATCAAATAGACAAAAGAGTACAAATTTGTATCCAAAAAATTGGTATATTCTTCTCACGATACAAATATGTCAGAAAAAAAAACATTTTTGACATCTTAATTATTATGTTTTTTGTATGATAACCAAATGATCGCAAAGAGCGAACCGAGATACAAGTTAGCTTTTGTATCGCAAACAAACTCAGCCTAAAGTGAAAAACCAAGAGGCCCTTAGGCTATGTTTGGTTTGAAGGAAAAGGTAGGGAAAGGTAGGGAAACCTATAAAAGGTTTGTAAAGGTTTCCCTATCTTTCTCTTCCTTTCCCTACTTTTTCCTTCAAACCAAACATAGAGATTAAAACACAAAATCTGCCCTTATTTTTCTCAAAAGTCTCCTCCCTTCTTGCCACAACATGAGAGAATCAGGTTGAAAGCATGATAGTTATATTTTTTGAAAATCCCTAATATACCCTTGTATGGTTGAAAGTGTCCTTTTCGGTTTGGGTAGATCAGACATAGACTGGTCCCCGTACTTTTGTTGGTAATCTACGGCGGAGGGAGGTTACTACCATGGTTCGCACTTGCATCGAGTGGAGAAGATGAAGTGATTTTGGCAAGGGGGTTTCTGTTTATATCTTATATCTATCTGAGGTATCTCTTAGATCTCAGAGGGTTTTTGCATCTCTTAGATAAGGAACTCAGATCTGAGGGTTTGGTCTCTAGTGCAGAGGCAAACCCTCTATTCCTCCTCCATCGTCGCCCAAGGCCCTTTATTCCTCTTCTTCTCTTTCTTCTTCTTCCTTTTCTCTTTTTTTTTTGTCGAGAATTCATTGTTTACCATCATCTTGCTCAAAACAGAGGAGGAGGTGGCGATGATCTCCTCACCCCCCCTCTGATCTCTCTCTCCCTCTCTCTCTTTCTTCTTCTTCTTCTTCCCCCATTTTTCTCTCTCCCTTTGTTTCATCACCACCGATGCAAGTTGCAGCAGCGGTAGATCTGAACCCAGACCTCTCTCACTCTCTTTCTCCCTCTCATTCTTTTTTTTTTCTTCTTCCTCTTTTGCTTCTTCTCATTCCAATCTGGTTTTGGGAATTGTTCATCTCGTCCTTGAAACCGAAACCAGGCGACAACGATGACAAACCTCCCAGATCACGATCTCTCTCTCCCTACCCTTCTTTGTTCCATTTTTCTTTATACTGTTCACTATCTTCTCGGTTGAGCAGCGGTGGTCCTTAGTTGATCTGTCTCTTCTCCTCTCTTCGACAACAGTGGCGGCAGTAGCGACAGTGACAACTCTTTCACCTCCAGCATCTCTTCTCCTCTCTATCTCTCTCTGTCTCTTTTCTTCTTCGATCTTCTTCTCCCCTGCATTCTACCCGCCACTGCAAATCGAACCAACAGCGACGGGTTCAGCGAATTGCACGAGTTTAAGGGTAGTTTAGGCATTTTGTATGGGTTTTAACAGACTCTAACAATAAAACTAGAGCTAGTCAATTGTTAGAAGCAGCAAGGATAGTGTCAGTCAATTTTCAAACAGTAAGGAGGGTACACTTACTTAGGGGTGGCAACGAGCTTGAGTTTCGAGCTCGAGGCCAATTCATTGGCTCGATTAATAAACGAGCCGAGCTCGAGCTTACTAGAACTCGGCTCGTAAGGTTTGCGAGTCGGCTTGAATATATATAATAATAATATATATATAATAAAATTATAGAAAATAACATATAATAAAAATAGTATAATTATTAATTATTATAATTCTTAATTTTTAAATATAAAATAAATTTTTTATATATATTTTTATTTTTATAATAAAATATATAATAGATATTTTTATAAAATATAAAACGAGCCGAGCCGAACCGAGCTCGAGCTTATGAACTTTTGACTCGAGCTGAGCTCGAGCTCAAGGTTCTGGGGTCGAACCAAGCTCGAGCTCGAGTCTGGTACTATTCGGCTCATCTCGGCTCGAATCCACCCCTACACTTAGTCAATTAGCTAAACGGTAGTTTAAGAAATTTATCCAAAAAAAATTACAATTAACTTATCATCAACCAAAAGAATGAATGACAGATAATTAAATAATCCAGTATCCACCAATGCTAAGAACGAATCCCTTCTCAGTTCTCGCAGATTTCATTGTCACTGCAGGGAAACGAGGTTAGCTTGGGGCACTCAAACTTGTACAGGTATTTGAGTTCCGCAAACACTTGCAGCAATTCGACCTTCTCCATCTGGAACTTCTCTAGAAACTTTAGATGCAAAACTTGGACCTTCCATGTGAGACGCTGGGTATTGCCATGAGTCACCAGCCGTTCAAGCTTTCCTCCTCTGATGTACAGCTTCTTCAGGTTACTCAGTTCGCTGGGACCGAGCCAATCTGGTGGATTTTCCTCTGGTAGGCATCGAACGTCGAGTTTTTCAAGGTTCGAGGGAAATGAAAAAGACGGAATTGTTTTCGAAGCTCCCCATGTTATTGTTAGCGAACGAAGAGCTTCCAACCCGTTCAACTTAAATTCTCCTGTTTCAGTAGTTGCTCTGTTTTCTATGTTGATGTTCAGGCTCAGCTTCTTTAGTTTTTTCAATGTAACTAAATCGCTCAGTCTGCATACATCTTTGGTCTTGGAGTTACAGATTATAAATCCCTTCAGCACCTGCAACTCAGAGAGCGAGCCAAGACTCCTGGGGATGTACTCTAGCAAGAAACAATCAGACAGGTCCAAGTGAGTTAGGTTCTTCAGAGATGCTATCCCGGCCGGCAGTTCCTCCAGATTTTGACATGCTCGGAGATCCAGAATTTTGATATTGATGAGCCTGCCAATTGAAACTGGAAGCTTCGTTATTCCGTATATGCCCTGAAGACTCAGATAACTCAAATGCTTCATAGATCCCAAATCTTTCAGAAAAATTTCGTCCTCCACCTCAATGTGATGCTTCGGCCATCTCTGCCATTTACCCAGTTGAAGAACAACCAACTTCCTCATCATCGATAACCCATCACTCTTGCCATCCTTTTTGAAATCAAGATACTGCGCATTCACATTAAACAGTGTCTGCAGGTCCTCGTGATAGAAATTTCGTAGATCTGGAGATTCTCTATTGGTTGTCACCAAGCATGCTCGGCGAGAGAATTCATCTGCGCCATTTTCAGATCGGGAAAATTCAGCGGGAGATATGGGATTGCCGCTCGAATCGAAGTTAAAGAATCTCAATTCTTTAGCGACAGAAATCACCATACGTCGAATCCAAGGATGCATTCTGCAGCACTTTGCGGCTTTAGATCCTCTTTCGTAGACGGGCTCGATCAAGCCAACACTCATCAGCTTACGAAAGCATTGATTGCCCATCTCCTCGGCGGTATGGTTTGCGGTGGGAGTTACGAATCCCTCACCGATCCACCAGTATATCAAGGGCCTCTTCTTTATTACATAATTTTCTGGGAAGATGGAGAAGCAAAGCAAACAGAGCTTCTCTGCGAGTTCGAGATTGTCGTAACTCAGCTTAAGCTCGGTCATGCCTTGGCTCTTTAGAATCTCCTCTTCCATACGGAGATCTTTCCATTTTTGTGACGTTTCTCGAACAACAACGTCGGGATCTTCCTCCGGCTGCGACGGAGAAGAGGACGGGGAATTGTTGGAATCTATGTTATCTACGAGAGATGATACTCGCGCTTTCATCCTGGCGATGCAATTGATGATATGTTGCAGGTTGGAAGGGATGCCATTAATTTGGTTAGCATCTTGATGGAAGAATCTTGATAAAGCATTCAAGTCTTCTAGGATGAGTTGCTCCCAGTTTTTGATTCCGAGTCTGGCGTAGTCTTGCATGGATTGCAGTTCTTTCTTCGCGAGGTTGAACAACCATTCCTGCATCTGAGATGAATTATTTGTTCTGCGACGCTTTAATTCCTCCAGTTGCCTCAGCAAATCCGGCAGAATATCTTCGGAGATTCTTCCGGTCACCGCGACTGAAGAAGAATCGGGAAGATTAGACATGTCAAAAACTTCCTATTGGAGAGGTGAAAAGTTGCGGTCTGTGCTCTTGATTTTCTTCTTGGAAGGACTCATGAGAAAAAAACTCCGCAAATTACAGTTGATGGTAGTGGACAGTTCGGACAAGAAAAATGGAGACTTCAAATAAGACTTTGGATTGGACAATCCAATTCATTCAAACTTTTAATACTTTACATTCGGTATGACCAAGAAGGAAAAGTTAATTTGACTACAAAAGATCTACCCAAAAAAAAATCTTGACTACAAAGAGCCCTTGAACTTTCATTTGCCACAAACACTCCCTCAACTTTTACTTTGTAACAGAATTATGCATATAATTGTGGTGGTAAGGTGATATAAGATGGTCTTCTTACAGGACTTAGCGCAAGTTTTTTTGGAGAAGAGTCCAGAAAAGGGGAAGAGGATTTTCGGATAGTGGATTCCTAAAGTTCTCTCTCTGTCCTTTGTAGTGGCAGTCGCGAGGTTATATGGAGAAGAGCCCAAAAGAGGACTTTTCTTATTGAGGAAAGAAATCTTTGTCCATGCGTCAACCATATTGAGGTTTTGCCACATGTCTAGTGAGATATGGATTCTCACATAGCACGTCCTATTTACATCCATCTATGGGTTCTCTCCCGGCCTCATCATAACTTGCTGTGACTGGAAGGAGCATAAGTCGCTTGTGAACAAGTATCACCGGTTTTAGGCTTTATCTATCGTTCATCACAGCATACTGCTATTTTATGCTCATCGTAGGGTACTGGTAGTGTATTAAGTCAAGTCCAGACTTGCAATATTGTTTTATGTCTATCACAGGTCTCAGGTGTACTCTTTGCTCATCACAGGTCCCCGAAGAAATGCCCATTGCAAGTTTTAGATGGTCTTCTATGCTCATCACAAGTGCGTGAGCTTTACATTACTTTGACAAAGCACCATTGTGCGATTACTTTGACAGAGGTTAATCAGTTGCTTTGGAAATTTATGTAGTCTTTGTTTAAGGCTTCCATTGTAATTCTAGTAATAACAAGCTACGTCTACTTACAATGCGAGTTAATTTGGAAAAATAATCACATTCAATTGTTTAAATGTTTTAAATCCCCAAATTATCCTTTTCTTATTTATTTAAGCGATTTATATTTCAATTAGTTTTCTAAATGTAACATTGAAGTCCTTTCGATTGCTCCAATAGATCCTTGCAAATTTCTGGGTAGACTCAATGTTCAAATGAAATGGTTAAGGTTTCTTTTGGAGAAAGGAGTGAATTTTTCGGGTGAATTACAAAGACCCCCCTTGTATTATGGGGTTAGGGACAAAGTCCCCCTATACTTTTTTGTGACAAACACCCCCCTAAACTTTAGCCACAAAGACCCCCTTCCATTAGTGTTCCATCAGTTAATTTTAAAAAATATATTCTCATCCAACTATGTATAGTTTTCTAAATGTTGAAACTACCCTTTTTGTATTATTCATTGTCTTCTCCATTGAAGTTAATTGAAATGACTACCATAAAGATAGTGGTTTTGAGACATTAAAGAAAAATACACCTGGTCTATACTTGCCTTTTAAGAAGTTGGTAGATGATCTGCTTGCGTTTTATGATGAAGAAGATGGAAAAAAAAAAAAAGATGAATCAGAAGACTTAACTAAAGACAACATCAAGGCCATTATCATGGTATGTGAAGTGAAACTCAAAAAGAAGGAAAACGATTATTGATCCACCAGTAGGTCATAATTTTATAAAAAATTATTAATTTTCTTTACATAATAGGATGTGATGTTTGGTGGCGCCAAGATTGTTGCATTGGAAATCGAGTGGGGGGCATGGCTGAGATGATGAGAAGTCTAGAGGACCTAGAGAGAGTTTAACAAGAACTGTTGGATGCCGTGGGTTTGGAATGAAGAGTTCAGGATTCGATCTTGACATGCTAACTTTCCTTGGGTGTGTAATAAAAGAGAAACTCCGACTCCACCTGCCCATCCCACTCCTCCTCCATGAGACGACAAAGGATGCTGAAGTCGCTGGCTACCTCATCTTGAAGCAAGCTTGGGTAGTGATTAACTCTTTGGCGATCGACCATATTAGGAGTAAGGTTGCTGCACCATAAAAGGTTGCCACATCATCAGATAATAACCAAGACTCCACTGGAGCCAGATAATCTCACTTCTAGTCGATCTAGGATAACCTCTCTCTAGATCGATTATTTTTATCCTCTCTATCTCTTTATTTCTTCTTGTTGTAATCTATACAAGATAGTCTTGTACTTGGACTCTGCTTCTTAATGTTATATATTGAACAAGGTTCTGGTGATCAACACCACCGAACCATTCTTCAATTCATTCTTCTTTATTACTTTATTTCAAACTTGGGATCAAAGCCAATACCACCATGTCCTTGATCAATAGGTTAGCCAAAAGAGGAGCCAACAGTCATGGATTGTTAATCTTTGTTGCGACTCCACGAGCTGCACTGTCGATGCCAAACATTAAACACTACTTACCTATCAAGTTAAACCACAACAATTATTTCTTGTGGCTTGCGTAGTTTCTTCCTATTCTTAGAATCCACAAATTGATGGGAATGGTTGAAGGAAAAACTCTAACTCCTCCCGAAGAGATCAATGACCCAAAAGATCCATCAAGGAAGATCTTCAACCTAGCATATAATCACTAGTATCAGTTGGATCAATTAGTACTAAACTAGAAAGTTTCATCACTCGTTGAAGGTGTTCTCAGCTAGGTCATAGGCATGTCTTCCTTAGTTGCAGTTTGGAGTGCATTAGAAGATCTAGAGTTCTCCAACTATGAAAACAATTTCAAAGTCTCAAGAAAGGTGCACTTTCTATTTTTGAGTATGTTTAAAATGCCAAAAGTATTGTCGATAATCTCTCGATTGTTGGTGAACCTATTTCAAAACAAGATCTTGTTTTGTATATTTTAATTGGACTTGGACTTAAAGTATGAATCAATTATTACTGCTATTACTAATTGATTTGATCTTGATAAGCTAAGAATTTTTTATACCATTGGTCAACTACTCAATCATGAGTCTTGGCTTTGAGAAAACAATCAACACTCTAAAACTAATGACCATGCCTCTGCTAATATTGCTTCCTTTGGCAACAAGAACAACTCACAACAGCCACACAACATTTCATAGCATGGAATAGGCTGAGGTGGTCGTGGTGGTTATACTAATGGTCTGGGTTGTAGTAGAAGACATAACACCATTGTCTGTCAACTGTGCAACATCCCTGGCCATGGCATATGGAAGAGTAATCGTCGATTTGATCTCTCATTCCCTAGTGGTGATTGCCAAAATGCTACGAATCCTACCACTCCTAAACCAACTACATTCCACATCGAAAACTCTTCACAGTTTGATCCAGCATGGTGTCCTGACTCAAGAGCGACATATCACATCACATTCGAGCTTGACAATCTCCATTGTCAGTTAGTAAATTTTCCAAAGATAACAATTATTTTTGAGTTTCATTCCTCATTTTCCCTCTTGAAGGACCATACAAGGAGAGTTTTGCTCTGAGAACCCAGTAAAGTTAGACTTTATCAGTTTCCATCTTTAATAGGGATTGATCTGTCTTCATAGTCGTCTACTAGTAATGCAGTTACATTCACTGGAGAGAAAGCCACAGTTCAAATCTGACATTCTACCAAAATTGTTTAACATGCTATTTCACATTTTGGTCTTCAATACAATGATTCATTTGATTCAATAGTGTGTGGATCATGTCAACTTGGCAAAAGTCGTCGTTTACATCTTCTACTTATTATAATCATCCATTAGAGTTAGTTTGTTCTAATGTATGGGGAGCTGCCCCAGTATCTTCTAATGGTGGATTTAAGTATTATGTTTTATTTATAGATACTTTTTTCAAGTTGGCTTGGATTTTTTCTTGAGCCAAAAATATGATGTATTTAATATTTTTCTCAAATTTAAACATGTTAAAAATTTATTTGATGTAAAAATTAAGCTATTTCAGTCAAATTGGGGAAGAGAATTCAAATTGGATCATATCTATTGGATTTATACTAAATTCGAATCGAATTTAAATTGCAGTCAGATATTGAATAGTGTTAATGAGTTAAACAAAAAATTATCAAAATATCATATATTACTAGGAACGGCAATGGGGCAGGGATTATATTCCCCATCCCCGACCTTGACCCCCAAATCACCCCCCATCCCCATCCCCGATCCCTGTCGGGGAAAGGAATCCTCCTCCATCTCCGACCCCGATGGGGATGAATTCTCCATCGGAGACCCAAATCCCCAAGGGTCACTGCACTTTATTTATTTGTATTTGTCAAGGATCAAAATTTCATCATATATTGGCCCATATCAGGGCCTTCCCGATATACCCCTACAAGAAATGTGTCAAGTCAGGCCATGGTTCAGAGGGCAACTAAGACTTAAACCGACCCCTCTGAACCAGTTTAAAAAATAAATAAAACACAAAAAAGAGCATCAATACAGGTCAATACATAACGATATTTAGAACCTTGGTATTTATAATCTTTCCACGCATATCCAATATCCAGTGTATCATGATGCGTATTCATTTCCAAGCTTAATGACAGACTTTACAATAACGATATTTTGAACCTTGCTATTTGCTAGTATATTAATCAAATTCAAACGGGTTTTGATTGTCGAAACTCTACCAGTCATACCTTTTGGGTACCATAGATATTGCCTTTATTCTTTCAATGCATTGAAAGTGAAAAAAGTCCAAAGAGTGAAACTTGATAATAAATTTTCAGAATTTGTTTTCGAAACAGAAAAACGAAAATTCTTTATTTTCATTATAAGAAAAGATCAAAGAAAACAGCAAGAAGGAAAACAAGCTTCCTATAAATGTGAGCAATACATTACTTTATGTACATTGGTTGGAAATGCAAACCAACCTTGGAAAAAATGCAGGTCAACACTAACCCTATATATAAATGTAATCTGGATCTCATGGATTAAAGAGCTTTCGGAAAGGCCCGTCCTTCCGATCTTTTGCAGCTTCTGTTAGGGCAAGGAATCTTTTAAATCCAGTAGTGGCAGCCCCCCTTCCAAGTGCAGCTGCACGAGTGAGTACATCTTCTCGGGAGGCAATTACTCCAGCTGAAGCCGAATTTGCAGCAACAGGAGCAGTCGGTGCAACTGGGACAGCTGGAACAACAGACTGGACAGCTGGGGGTTGTGTGATCCCTGATCCATGCTTGTTGAAATCATCGAGTATACTTTGCTGGTCGGCTTTCTTCAGGCCCTGCATATCTCTCACATTAGTGAATCTAGTGTGTAAACAAATCTAAACAAGATACATGGAACATGATTTTCTGAAACTTGGTTCCTGATTAGTGGCCAAGTTTTTACCAGGCCAACCAGCCATAAGATGAAAAGTTATTGCACATCAACAGCCTCACTGAAGCCAATTCCATCTGTTCACAATTAACCTTAACCTTATTTCAAGCAGTGCATGGTAGCAGCTAGCAAGTTAGCAACAGTCATGTACTACTGCTGATATGTACAGGATGTCATCTCTGAAAAAAACTGTGGCATCCACCATTCAGAATCATCTAAGACTAAAGCTGATGGCTCACAACTATTTCAGCATTCTTTATCCCCAACAGTTACATAAAAGAGTAAATATTTGAAAATTCATTGTGAGGCTCAGCACCTCAATCCTTTGGTATAAGTTTCTTGATCTTTCTGTTTCGTCATTCAAATAAAAGGTGCATTACTCTTTAAAATGCTGATTTGTATTTTCACTCTGGCACCAGGTTTCTAAGACAAAATGTTCAATGGAGTAAAACCATTTCTTTTCATTGTGTATCCTACAAATCATTTACTTCCATAATTTAATTCTACAAACCTGCAACAACAAATCCTATGCCAACATAGACATGGTTAAATATCAGACAAAATTTGCCTTTCTTACTTGAGGGTGAGGATCAGGGCCTTTGCCGAAGAGGTTTACAATGTTTAATGGGAGTAGTAACAGAGGTACACTATTTACACTGATATAACAGTGAAGAAAATCTGTTATGCCAGTGGATTTTTTTTTTTTTTTTTTGATGAATATGCCAGTGGATTCATTTATAGATAATATACATATAATGTTATTGAAAATACTATATTTTATATACTAAATTAGATAAGGCAATAAAAGCACATTATAATGATCATAATGGAGACTTGCTTAATAATAGTAGTTATATTAGGGCATTATCTACATACATAACGTGCAATAGAGTATCAGTCAAGAGATGAAAACCTGAGTGAGTAGACTGTTTCCTAAGACAAGTCACCATAGATCATCTTCTCTCAATTCTCAAACAAATATCATCTTGGTATTAACTTTAAAGTGACTTTGGCTGGGACCAACCCAGCTCAATGTCAATTTATTGCTTAACAGTTGCCAAATTGTTCTTTGCCAGATAAGGTGCAAATGTGGCCAGAAGCTTTTTATATTCAATAGAAGCTATAAATGATACTGCAATACAAGGTGTAGAAGTGATGCAGCAAACCTTGAGCTCAAGAATCCTCTGAAACTCCAAAGGTGTTCCCTCAGGAAGAAGTGCTCGGTATGTATCCCCCACAGAATCTATTGGAGATAAAATGACCTGAAGAGTGAAAATAAGTATTACATATATTAGCTCATAATTACACCTGAAAGGGAATGCCCAACCCTTGTGTCTCAAGCATTTGGGAGTTTTTATTTTTTCTAGGATGCAGGTGGTCTCTGGCCTGATCGTCATCTACTAGAAGCAAAGCTACATATCATTGTCTCCCCCATCTTTGGATGACCATATAAATCAAAATTTGATGACTTTAGGTAACACAGGGGATTCAGGTATTGGAGTACTTAGGGATCATCATGGTACACTATCATTGATATTTAATCAGAACCTATTGGTCAACAGATTCGACTAGAACTGAGTTACTGGAATTTTTCCAAGGGCATTGGGTATATCCCTAAAATACAGAGATATTATAGTGGAAGGTATTCAAGAGTAATAGTTGATTGGCCCCAAAACAAGTAGAAACATATTGAGAGAAATAAATCCAGCTTTGGAACTGAGGGCGTTAGCTAGGAAGGGAGTGAACAGAAATCAGTTGTACTGATGGGTTGTTAACTCGGGGAGTTGAATCACATGAATATAAAAATTGGAACCATTGGGTAAGGCAGAAGAACTGACATATATCTTGAAGGTGCTAGGTACACTTCCCTTTGTAATCAAAGTCATTCTTTTTCTTAATAAACATGAATATTAGCAACCAAAAACAGGTATCCCTGCTTAAATCCCCACCTTCAAGAGTGCTTCAGCTTTGCTCATTTCACGGCTGACAAATTTTGAGTAGCTGGCTGCACCTGATGTCTGAGAGAGAGAGAGTTATCAACTGAAGATGATAAATGAAGATTTCAACTAAAATTTGAAGGCAATGAAGTACAATTGCATATTCTGAGTTCCAAGAAGTCAAAACACGCAAATGCATGGACAAATATATCAAAGATATCTCATCTAACCACAGCTAACACATCGATTCATGTTCACAATCCAACCAACTCAAGTACATTTCTCCTGATCCTCATAGTATAATTTTTATTTGCAACAGCCATTGAGAAAATCACAACAATGGGATGGAGAGGGCATCTGGTAAATGGATCTATTTGGACTTGTCTCAAAAATATACGGTAATAAACTTTTTCCATGATTTTCATACAGAAGTGAAAGATTTTTATTTTTCAGAATCAAAATTCCCTGAATGAAGTTAAAATACCTTCTAGGTTTCTACGTTGCTGAAGCATACCAATAAAGTTCAATCAAAATATCATTAAGACCATTAAAAGATATATTAATGGGCTAGGCAAAGGATTTTCTGTATCAAGGATGAGGAGTCAAGTAATTCCTCTATACCCTTATGCTCATCTTTTGTATCTTTACTCTGATTTTTGCTATTATTGGTTAATGATAAAATAAAGGAGGGTGATAATGATAAAAATATAATGATGATTCAGACAGGTCACATGGATAGATTGTATTTATATATAACAAAATTGGAAGCCAAAGCCATTCATTTCTAACATTTTATTTGACAAGGACTCTGTCTGTATTAATTCACCAACTCATTATGGATTTATCTCTATAGTTTCCATAATTATATGAAAACTGTGTGTGTGTGTCCGTATATTGTGTATATATATGTATATGCATGTATACACATTGTTTCATATTGGACAAAAACCTTTATAACATAGAATAATGGTCGTGCAGATTTTCAGGTATAGTTTATTCAAGTATTGCTGCTTACTATATGAAACTGAGGATTGAACAATATGTGCCAATGGTACATAATAGCAAGAATATTTGCTGCTTGCACAGCATCTGTACGAAATGCATGTTCTTTTTTCTATATCCAGCCACAGAAAATGTTTGCTTTAAAATATATATCAGTCAAAAAAGCAGCAAACAAAGCTTGTATCAGAGGAAGATAGAGCCTATTAAATTTAATATACAACTATGTTTCAACAATTTACCTGCTTTCCAAGGGCAGGAATGTCTAGAAGAATTGTTTTTACAGCCTGAGTATCCAACAACATCTGCAATTGCATCGAAACAACAAATCAAACTCATTACAAAAATACAGGGCAACCCAGTCTTCTAGACTGTTGGGGATTAATAAAAAGTGTTTTCATATTACCTATAAATAAACAAACAAATTAATAAAAGGTATTTTTATGGCTAGAACTTTAGAGGATGTTTGGCACATCTTTTCTGCACATTTTTTTGCCTGCAGGAAGCTCGAAAAACCAAAAAAAATGGTCTTTCTCCGTTAGGAAGTTTGAAAGACCAAAAAATGGTCTTTCTCCGTTTGGTATCCGGTAGATTGGAAGACCAGAAGACAAGTACACAAAGACCCAAAAAGCTGAAAATTAGGAAGCTTCAAATGAAGCATTTGGTCTTTCGACACTTGAAAATAGCCTTCCGATCTGTTTTTAACATCCCAGTCGACCAAGATGCTTACCAGACAGTCTTGGTCTTTAAAGACAAGACCCCAAAAGTTGAGTACATCTTCTGGTTTGCTGGGTTGTCGGAAGATCTACATAGAAAAGACTCACGAAACAGCACCTAATTCTATATCGATGATGAATGACCCTAATCTTCTAGACTTCTAAAATGGGCATAAGGTTATACATGGCTGACATATGTTCAGGAGTAGTTCTTAGCAAGGTACGAGGTTTGGGTCAAACAGGTTCTCAATCCCAGATTAAACAATAAAAGCAGCACACATCAAAAAATGCTTCCCTTAATCTGCCTAGTTTATAGATATGGTCATTGGGATGCAAGTTGGGACCTGATTTGAAGAATTGACACTGGGCAGAGGGCCCAATCAAATTTTAACAAATCCCCAACCTTAGTCCACCCAAGTTGCACCCTCATATGGTGAGCCCTCCAATTTATTGAATACAAATGCTGTCTCGGGATTTTATGGATTTCCTACACCTTTAAAACCCCTGCCCATTTTTTTCTTTTCAATATGAAATGACAAACCTCTAAAGAGCACAACTGTGATATAATGGTAAGTCTCTAAATATAATTTATGGCTCTATAAAATGCCAAGGATATCTTGTTCTTCCATTGCTCTCTTGCCAAGTATCTTCAGCTTAACAGACTAATTATGAGTGAACCAGATCACCTATTTATGCCAAATGGGTAAAAGCTGTGGTCAATCCTGACCATCCTTTATATGTACAAGAAACATTTAATGTTACAGTTAGTGTCATGGGACAGTCCAATAGAAATACATGGAGCAACAGGATCTTTAAAATATATACTTTATTTTTTTTCTTTTTCTAGCCTCTATTCTCGATGTTAAGACTGAAAATACGATCAGAAATGGTAATGCTCATCTAGTAATTAATTTTCTATCAGCTAGTCCTGCACCCCTGCATGTATCACACAACAGTTCATTGGTGCAATTTTGATATTGATGGACATTTCACCCTGTAGAGATCAGAAAATTTCCAGGATATTTAACTAATTTCATTAAGATATTTGAAAAATCTAAAAAACAGGAAAATTTTCCAGTAACATGGAATTAGTTGATAAACTTTCAAGAAACCATTAGAAGCATAATTGCACATTTAAGGCTCAAAGAACAAATGTATAAATCAATTAAGACAATATTAGTAGACTTATATGTATCTTTCTCTTTGTCTCCCCTTTAGTCTTTTGGCCATCTCTTCATTACATATCACTTTCCATTTTGAGTGTGTGAGAACGTGGGTTCTAGTCTGAGAGTGGACACTTTGTGCAAAAAAAAAAAGAAAAAATAAAAGAAAAATTAGAAAAAAAAAGAAAAAAAACAACATTGAGAATCCTCTTCGTAGTTGATTTTTCTGTTTCTTTTAAATTATAGTGACTTAGTAAATGAATCATATCTAGTAAGCAAATCATCCAATCACTGATTTTCCATTGGTTCCTTTTAGGAAAAGATATTTTAAAAAATCATGATGTTTTCAAATAAATATCATGAAAAGTTTTAATAATATTCTAAAATTTTAAGGCATATATGTATAGTCTATCAATGATATCCGAAAATTGCTAACATATCAACAATCTATCAAAAATATTAGGAAAAATATATTATCCGAAAATTTCATATTGTCACCTAGAAAAATAAGGATATTTCAGAGAAATTTTGCCAAATCCCACCAATATTACTAACCATGATTCTGATCAGATAAAGATATCTATTTTATAGTAAATTAGACAGAAAAATTTTGCCAATGTGAATGATTTTGTTTTCAACAACAAAAACAACTTCCATGTCAAAAAAAGAAACACATTTTTGCTGATGTGACAGTTATTTTTGTTTTAGAAAACAAAACCATATACATTGGTCAACACCACCTTAGAATATGTAAAATTCTAGCCAAAGATTAAAATGTTTAGTATTTTAATTCTCCCCCTTTGGCACCATCTATTCTCTGGATTGCAGGACAACGAAGAAACACATTGACAGTGATCCCTACCTGTTGGGCTCCAGTTTCTGATATGTGCTTGCATTTGTAAATGTTGAGGTAGAAGCGAGGACCAAGCGATGCAGCAAGCTGCAATCCAGAAATGATAAAGTAAGGTAATAAATTATTTAAAATGAAAAAACAAGAAAACATCTGAAAGAAGGAAATTTCCAAATTCAACTTCTTTATCATAGAAAATTGCTCCTTATTGATGCAACCCATATTGGAATTCTTATAATGATATTCAAGTGTTAGACATACTTTTCAAGGTGCTAAGACTACAAGGTGACAGGACATGCCTTGTCACCTAGTCACCTAGGTGTAGGGGTGTCAACAGTATTCAAAAATCCGATTTTGAATTCGAGATTCAACATAATTGGATCGAATTTGGATAATTCGAATATCTAATTGGTTGAATTTGGATATCCTATTCATAACAAATAGCTAATCGGATTCAGATTCTGATATGACCTGATTTGATTTGATAAATATCTGAATTCGGCCGATTATTTAATTCTTATATATAATATATAAAATATTTAAATGTTTTATATCATTTATATATATTAATTAAATTATATAAATAATTTATATGTTTATATACCTTGTGTAAATAAAATATTTATTTTATATATTTATTAATTACCTAAAATAATTAATTGATCCAATACAAACCAAATTGAATTCGAATTCGAATATTAATTTTCAACATCCGTTGGATATCGAACTGAACTCGGATATTGTCTGATTCGATTCAAATTAGTAGAGATGATGGGCCGAATGGCCCATAGCCCACAACTTATGCTTTAATTTTATGCTTATGTTTTGTTCTGTTAATGGGCCTTTCTCTTTATGGGCCTATTACCATTAGTTTATGTTTATGTTTAATTAGCTTGCCGCCCAACTAAGGGCTTGCTTGTAAATTCTAATAGAGTGATTATCTCTAATGAAAAGGATTAGGGAAAAGAAGAGCTGAACAAACAATTCTTCTCTTTAACCCTTTCTTCTCAATCTTTCTCTTCTCTTATTCTCTTCTTGTTGTCTCCTTCTGTTCTTCCTTCTTTTAATCAGTTTTCTTAATTCTTTTGGGACTGTTTTTCATCTTGGTATCAGTGCGGGCCCCTTCTCCTTTTCCCTTTTTTTCCTTTTTTTCCCCATACACAATGTATATGGAGAGCTAAATCAATGAATGTTTAAAGAAGACATTCAGCCCAGTTGGTAGTGGTTTCTTGGAGAAAAGAAGATATCATGTTCATCATTTAAACAGTTTTTGGATTTTTTGCCCAAAACCCTAATTAACTAGAGAGTTCTGATTGCGGGTCTCATAGGAAGCTTCACCTTGGCGCTCAGTGATTGAAGGAGTTCCTTTTGATTATCTTGAAGATCGAACCGAGCATAGCTTAGTTCTATGAAGCCTATAGGGAGCGGCTACTATTTCTCTATTTCTACTGGTTACCAAGTAAGACGTAGCTTTTCTATTTCTGTCTTCACCATTTGTCATCTGGAAATTTGTTTTGGAGTTTTTGAGGAAGATGGATATTTCTAGAGTTGAAAATAAGTTTGGCTCAAAGTCCGAACAGGTTCCGAGAATACCTGTAGGCTCTTTATTGGTTGTGACTACAGTCAAGCTTGATAGGACTAACTATCTAGCATGGTTGCAATCAATAAAGATACATGTTTGTAGTAGAGGCAAGTGGGGATATATTATCAGCAGCAAGAAAGCACCAAAGGAAGATGACCCGTCTTATGAGAAATGGTAGCAAGAGAATTACACTGTTATAGGGTGGTTAGTGAATTCAATGCAACTGCAATTTCATCAGCACTATTTGTGGGTGAATTCTACTAAGGAAATATGAGACAGTGTTGCGGAAACCTATTCACAAAACTGAACGTGGCCAGGGCATATAAGTTAAAAAGTGATGTGAACAATCTAAGGTAGGGGGAGAGACCTTTAGCAATCTACTTCTCAATGCTGAAATCCTTGTGGCAAGAGATAGATCTCATGAAAATTGTTGTCTAGGAAGGTACAAATGATGCAGAAACATATAGAAAATTAATTGAGAGGAATAGAGTCTTTTGAATTCCTGACAGGTTTGAATCCAGAATTTGACATTACCAGGCAGAATATCCTAGCTAAAGACAATGTATCTTTGTCTTAGGCTTATGCCATGGTAAGCAGTTAGGAGAGTAGGAGGCTAGTTCAGGTTCAAGGGACTATTCCAATTGACCATTTTGCCGATATGGGGGGGAAACCTAAGGTGGTTATAGGGAAGAAGGAGGTTGTATGTGAATATTGCAAGAAACCAAAGGATAAATGTAAGAAGCTACATCTAGACCTCATTCCACCCCGTTTTCACAAGAAGGCCGAAGTTGGGAAGATTGGCAATGCCAATGCAGCCACAATTTCAAATAATGACAAGAGTGCCACTGATGAGAAAGCTACTAGTGAGCAGTTAGCTGTTATGAAGGCAGAGTATGAGAAATATGGGAGGACAATCAGCCATCTTGAGAGTACAGCCACCTCCTCCAACTCTTCAGGCAATCCAACTATGTCTGCATTTGCCCATTCAGGTATACATGCTACTGCCAATCATGCAGCTATTTCAGGTAATCGTAAGATCCCTTGGATTATAGATTCTGGTTCTTTTGATCATATGACCAACATTTCTACTCTATTTAGCTCTTATAACTTACTTTCTGGTTGTGACAAGATTACCCTAGTTGATGGCTCTCTTGCTCCTATCTCTGACAAGGGAGTCATCATGGCCACTAACTCCCTTTCCCTTACTTTTGTCCTTCATGTCCCTAAGCCTCATACTAATTTGATATTAGTGAATAGCCTAACTAAATCCTTAAACTCCAACGTAACATTTTTCCTTCTTACTATGTTTTTCAAGACCTTAAGTCTCAGAAAGTGATTGGGAGTGGCCATGAGGCGAATGGAATATATCTACTAGATACTCTTGGACAAAGCCAAGGACAACCTAAGAGAGTTGTTTTTGGGTCTACTTCTTCAGAGTCTTTTAGTTAGCTCATGTTATGTCATTTTCGTTTGGGTCATTTATCCTTTTCCACTTTGAGTCATTTATTCCTAGAGTTGTTTAAGGGAATTAACTTGTCTAGTCTTCATTGTGAGTCATGTGAGCTATCAAAACATTGTAGAAGCACTTATCATTTGAGTAATAAAAGATCCACTTTTCCTTTCCATATTGTGCACTTTGATGTATGGGGGCCATATCACTTGCCTTTTGTAGGTGGCTATTGATATTTTATCCTGTCCATTGATGATTTTTCTCGGTATACTTGGTTATTTTTTATGAGATCTTGTGACAAAGTTCCCAAACTTGTGAGATAATTCCATGAATTTGTTCTTACCCAATTTGATACAAGAATAAAGATATTTCGGTCTGATAATGCAAAAGAATACTTTGAGAAAAATCTAACCTCTTATCTCACTGACTTTGGGGTCATCCTCCAAAGCTCTTGTGTTCGTACTCCGGTACAAAATGGAATAGTTGAGAGGAAGAATCGTTACATAGTTGAAGTTGCAAGGAGCATTTTGTTTGTTTCACATGTTCCTACAAAGTTCTAGGGGGATGTTGTTCTCACTGCAACATACCTAATTAATCGTATGCCATCCGGAGTTTTGGGTTTTAAGTCTCCTTTTAATCTTCTTTGTCCAAATAAGGAACTTTTTTCTCTTCCCCTTTGTGTCTAAGGAGACAACAAGTACTGAGGTCACACCCTTGTAGCCTCCCTCCCCAGACTTTGATGTCCCTATTTCCATAAGAAAATGTAAACAGAAGTGTACTGCACATTGCATTTCTAAACATCTTTCTTATGGCTTTATTTCTCCTTCATACTATTCCTTCCTTTCCTCTATTTCTTTTAACCCTATACACAAGCCTGTATCAAAAGCACTTTCTACCCCATAATGGAGGGATGCTATAAGAACTGAGATAGAGGCTCTGCACAAGAATGACACATGGGAAGTGGTTGATTTGCCTGAAGGGAAGGAGCTAGTGGGTTGTAAGTGGGTGTATGCCATCAAATATCATGTTGATGGCTCTATTGAGAGGTACAAAGCCCGATTGGTTGCAAAAGGCTATACACAGACGTATGGATTGACTACTTTGAGACTTTTGCTCCTGTTGCAAAGATGACCTCTACGAGGGTCCTACTATCTTTGGCAACTCATTCAAACAGGCCCCTCTATCAGCTAGATGTGGAAAATGCCTTCTTGAAAGGAGATTTACATGAGGAGGTGTATATGTCTCTTCCACCAGGGATGTATGGTTCAGACATGGAGGGTAAGGTGTGCAAGCTGAAGAAGTCTCTCTATGAGCTCAAACAATCACCTAGAGCCTGGTTTGAGAGCTTTAGGGCTGCTCTTGTTAAGTTTGGTTACACACAGACTCAATCTGATCATACCCTCTTTGTGAAGAGGAGAGGATCATTGGTGGCATATCTTATAATCTATGTAGATGACATTGTAGTGACTGGCACTGATGTGATAGGGATTAATGACCTTAAAGCCTTTCTCCAAGCAGAGTTTGAGATCAAGGACCTAAGGGAACTGAGGTATTTCTTAGGGATTGAAGTGGCTCGGTCTAAAGATGGAATCTTCATATCTCAACACAAGTATGTGCTAGACTTGCTCACAAAAACAGGTAAAATGGGTGCAAGACCGGTGGCTACCCCTATTGATACGAGTCACAAGCTTTTTGCCTCAGATGGGGGAGTGTTTCAAAGGTTGCTAAGGAAATTGCTATATCTATGTATGACTCGCCTGACATTGCATATGTTGTTAGTTGCATTAGCCAGTTCATGAATGCTCCCAGAGATACACATATGGCAGCGGCAGAGAGAAATTTATGTTACTTGAAGAGTACTCTAGGGAAAGATATTCTTTTTGCTAAGCATGGGCATATGAAACTGGAGGCCTGTACAAATGTTGACTAGGCAGGTAACACTGATGATAGGAGGTCAACTTCGGTTCGGGATACTGTAGTATAGTTGCAGGTAATATTGTTGTGGTTGCTAGATCTTCCACTAAGGAAAAATACAGACTATGGCTCATGGAGCTTTTGAGTTGCTTTGGATTCAAAATGGAGGAATTGGGTGTTGAGTATGATAGACCATTGATGTTGTACTGTGGCAATCAGACCGCCATTAACATTGCTCACAATCTCGTACAACACGATAGAACGAAACACATTGAAGTTGACATGCATTTCATTAGAGAAAGAGTGGCTTCTAGAGAAGTTTGTCTACCTTTCATTGCATCTGAAGAACAGTTGGCTGACATTCTTACCAAAAGAGTCTCCAAGGCCAAGCTACAACATGATACAGGCAATCTGCGCATGATTGACATCTATGCTCAGCTTGAAGAGTGTAGAGAAGATGGGCCAAATGGCCCATAGCCCACAACTTATGTTTTAATTTTATGTTTATGTTTTGTTCTGTTAATGGGCCTTTTTCTTTATGGACCTGTTAACATTAGTTTATGTTTATGTTTAATTAGCTTGCCACCCAGCTAAGGGCTTACTTGTAAATTCTAATAGTTAGTGCTTAATCTCTAATGAAAAGGATTAGGAAAAATAGGAGCTAAACGAACAACTCTTCTCTTTAACCTTTTCTTCTCAATCTTTCTCTTCCCTTCTTCTCTTCTTGTTGTCTCCTTCTGCTCTTCCTTCTTTTAATCAGTTTTGCTAATTCTTTTGGGATTGTTTTTCATCTGAATTCAATCCGTTTACACCCCTACCTAGGTGTTGGATGTCTTTTTTTCATTTTTATAAAATAAAAACCATGAATTCTAGGATAATTCCCTAGGTTCCATGGCAAGCAAAAACCATCTTCCACTAGTAGTTATATTTAATCTTCATAAAAAAGTACAATTCATATTAAAAGATAGAAAATCAACGTATTCATGAGAAGAAAGAAGAAGAAGAAATTTTAAGTTCTTAATTCGCACTTACTTATCAGTTCAGGTTTTGAAGTCTTCATGGATTCAAGAAAGCACCAACCAAAATGTATGTTGATTGGATCAAAACAAATAAGAAATAATAAAACATGGTAGATAAATCCAGTAAAAGAATGTTTTAGTTTAATAAAATAGACATTTTTCTTGTGTGGCTGGCTGGAAGAGGAAGGATTCAGATCATGGAGGCTTAGCAAGAAGGGGAATGAAGTTGAATAACATCTGCTGTCTATGTGGTTGGAGCCAGAATCTGCTAATCACCTACTGCTCCATTGCTCTTTTACCTATCAGATTTGATGCCACTTTTTTAGGCTGTTTTGGGTCCAGTGGATTCTTCCTCTCTCAGTGGCTAATATATTATCTTCTTGGAGTTTGGGAATCTTTTCATCCAAAGGGAAGTTTCTGTAGAACTGCTTGCCTTCACCAATCCGTTGGGCAGTGTGGAAGTAGCAAAATTGCAGAATCTTTGAAGCCAAATCTGCTCCTTTAGCGATCATCTCTAAGGTGGAATGAACAATGAAAAGATGCACCATTGTTTCAAGTATTTTTTAGGGAACTCCAGCTATTCAATTCACCAATAATTATCTCTCTCTCATATTTTGATCTTTCCGTATAGGATCTGAATGTATATTTTCTGTGCAAACATACAGATGCTTTTTGTATATGCTTGAGGGTTTCTTTTTTCTATTCTGGTAATAAATAAAAAGTAATTTTATTAAGAAAAAGAAAAAGGTACATTAGAGGTGATAAGATATCACCCACTACAAGAGACAAAGCAACCAAGAAAAGTACAAGCTCCGGTGCCCAAAAAAAGAAATAACAACTTTTAACTTTTAACCCACAACTTGCTTCCGAATCAGGTCATCCTCATCAAACAAAACAAAAATACCCAACCAGCAGAACATCTCCCTAAACAAATATGCTTGAGGGTTTCTCACCATCCTATAGTTATTTCTGATACAATCATCTTTACCACTTATCAAAAAAAAAAGTCTATTATAATCTCAAAAAATAAGGAATATAAAAATATTTCATAGCACCATGTAAAAATTTGCTAAGTATTCAAGTGAAGCAAACCTCCATGGGTGCCTTGTCACATTGACACCTATGGTGTTCGTTTTAACAAATAAGAGTTATTGGAACATGGGGTATTACCACATAAAACATATAAAAACACAAATTAATATTACACTCCATAAACTTTTCCTGATACCAGATATGGAGTTACAGACACTAAATCCTAATTCAAGGAACTAAATATATCCCACACTGATGCCATCTATGCTTTAGCTGTTGTGCAAATGAATATTTGACTACTTCAACCAGAGAAAAGAGAATGTAACAATTCAAGGTTAACAGCCTTTTCTTTATGAATACCTTGTCTAAGAAAAATTGGAAATAGATGAGAGATAGAAGGCTTCCAAACACAGGAATACTGCTTGTAAGGATTGAATTTATGCCATTGACGTACCTGGGCATGGAATTAGTTCTCACAATCACTTTCAGGTAATTGAAGCCTGTAACAATAGGACAATACTATTGAATATAAAACAAACTCAATTATCGGAATCATACTCTGATTGATCACCAACACTCTCAAGTGTACCCCATGGAACACGTGTCATTGCAGCCATTTCAGTATCAAATTTTGTCTCCAAACCATGCACTAATGTCATTAATGCTTTTGTTATTACTGCAGAGAATTCATCCTGCACACGCAAACCTCACACATGTGAACTGAGAAACTGTTACAAACCTTTTCCTCTCCTCCCCCCATGGAAAAAAAAAACAAAAGGAAAAAAAAAAAAAAAGAAAACTATTCAGATATGAAACATCCAAATTACCTGGACATCTGACATATCAACCTTGTCTGAGAATTGAGAATCAATCATTTTTGATACATTTTCAGCCAGTTCACCTGACTGTCATTAGAATAAAGTACAACAGTTATTCAATATTACATGTTAATCTTCCTTAATTACCTCTGAAATGAATGTTTTCCAAGAAAAATGAAAACCTTTCAAACTCAATTTAATCAAATGTTAATTTGCTTGGTGGAATGAAATTATTCAGCAACTTCATATTTGGGACTGCCAAACAAACCCAATTTAATCTGGCGAATCACAAGTATTACCATTAATATATTAAAGCCTGAATTTAAATTATTCTCATTTGTATATCATATTATGGCTACAGAAATAAAGATAAGCATTAACAAGGGAACTGAAGGAACATCTACACTAGGAGTATGTCATCCACTTAGTCAGAAGTCAACCAAATAGAAAATGCAGGCTCATAGTAATGGTTGTTCACCATTAACTTTGACTTTTTCGTCATCACATATTGGAGTCTACTTCTGTAGTCGTATGAGACTACTGACAGCCCAAGCTGTGGTGTATAATCAATGGGAAATTAAGAGGATGAGAGGAAAGAATGGGAGAAGAAAGAGAAAAGAAGAGAAGAAGATTTCGAATGAAGGATTTCAGAAAAGAAGAGGATGCTTAATCTGCCGCTCCCCTCTTTCTATTTATATTAATTCTGAAGTAAGGATAAGACTGCTTACATGGAAAAATTAAAATCCTAATAAAAGACAATTAAAGTCCTAATAAAAGACTAACAACTAATTGTGGACTGACACTTAAATAACTAGTAGTTGTATATGAGTACAATAAAAAGAGGTGGGGACCACATAGTAGTTGTATATGAGTACAATAGAAAGAGGTGGGGACCACATCAGTGGTTTCTACACTCCCCCTCAAGTTGAGAATAGATGTTTGTCATTCCCAACTTGCATAGATCTGCTTCTAACTTCTTTGAAACTGCCATGGTGAGAAGATCAGCAAGCTGCATGTTGGAGCTGATATATGGAAGGTACACTTCTTGAAATGCAACCCTTTCCCTAATAAAATGTCAATCGACTTCAATGTGCTTGGTTCTGTCATGTTGTACCGGGTTATGAGCTATATTAATAGCAGCCTGATTATCACAGTACAACATTAGAGGTTTCTCATAGGTAATACCCAATTCATCAAACAGTGATTTCAACCATAGTATTTCAGCCACACCATTTGCCATTGACCAATATTCAGCTTTAGCACTGGAACGAGAAACAACATTTTGTTTCTTACTCCTCCAAGAAACAAGGTTACCTCCTACAAAGGCGCAACCTCCAGAGGTAAACCTTCTATCATCAACACAACCAACCCAATCTGCATCTGTGTACATTTCTATCTTCATGTGATTATTATCCTTAAATAGTACACCTATGCCTGGACACCTCTTTAAATATGCCAGTATCCTCTCAACAGCAAGTAAGTGGATAGTTTTGGGAGAGTGCATATACTGACTAACAACACTGACTGTATAGCTAATGTCTGCTCGTGTAAGACAAAGTACTTTACCAACTAATCTTTGGAACATAGCTTTATCATCAAAAGGCTCTCCACCTTCTGTACTAATCTTGTGATTCTGTTCAATAGGTGTATCAGCTGGCTTAACACCTAATTTTCCTGTTTCTTCTAACAAATCAAGGGCATACTTCCTTTGAGAAACAAAGATTCCATGCTTGGACCGAGCTACTTCAATACCCAAGAAATATCGTAGCTCTCCCAGGTCCTTTACCACAAATTCTTTATGGAGAAGTTTCTTAAGAGACTCAATTTCATTGTTATCACTCCCTGTTACTACAATGTCATCCACATATACAACAAGTAGAGTCAAGTTGGTATCAACTTTCATAATAAACAAAGTGTGATCTGATTGAGCCTGCACATAGCCAAACTTTTCAAGGGATTGTCTGAATCTATCAAACCAAGCTCTAGGGGACTGTTTTAGTCCATACAAAGCTTTATTCAACCGACAAACCTTCTTACCTGTCTCTGTACTTTAAAAACATGAGGTAATTGCATGTACACTTCTTCTTGCAAGTCTCCATTGAGGAAGGCATTTTTAACATCCATTTGGAACAAGGGCCAAGAGTAACTGGCTGCAAGAGATAATAACACTCTGATAGTGGTCATTTTTTCTACTGGTGCAAAAGTCTCCAAGTAATCTATACCATAAGTCTGAGTAAATCCCTTTGCAACTTACCGGGCCTTATATCTTTCAATGGAACCATCAGCATTATGTTTCACAGTAAACATCCATCTACATCCAACTGTATTCCATGGCTTAACAAACCAGAAACTGATTTTTTTTCTACTTTTCTACGAGAAAATCTCAAAATAAAATGTTAATCTTAACCATTCAAGTATGGAACTTATATGAAAAAACTCCAAAATTTGAGAGTAATCTAATGGTATAAACCTTCTGAAGTTTACTTATATGGTACAACTGCTAACACACCCATATGGACCGATGATGTCATCATGTCACCAGCAGTGATGAACTTCTCCATTTGCATAAGTGCTCTGATACCAGCCTAATTTATTCTATGATCTTATTTTCACATTTCCATGTTTTGAATAATTAAGAGACAGTAGAAGAGAAGACAATAAAGAAAGATGAAATCATATGCAGGTCATATGTCTCATATCACTGCAAACTCCTTATTTATTAGATCTGAGACAATGAGGGGAAAAGTCATAAATATCCCAATATGCCCCAATACAAGTAGAACAAGTAGCTCAATAAACAGAAATCATATAAAAGAACACATATCCCAGTCCTATATCATACTTGTCCTACATTGAATGACAATGAACCGTCCTACATCAATTTAGTAAATAAGCTGCCATACATCACTTCAGTATTAGAACCCGCAGTTAATCAATATGCTTTCAAAAATTGACTGATCCCATAGCCCAAGGGTCTCCAGTTAATTTGTATTGGAAATTTGTGGAAGAATCCAAATCTTGATCATGTTGACAAAATGGTGGCTACCCGATATAACTAGATCAATTGGCTGAATAAGCAAACTCGACATATTAGAAGTAGAAAGTTCAACATGGATGTATATCTCGGTAGCCACAAATTTATTATTATCTATTTCTTCACTATCTTTGAATCTATCCAATATTATGCAACTCTCCTAACAATCTTTACCATAAAATGTCAATACTTACTTTGGCTTCAAGTGCAGACCACCATGCAAAAATTTTGGTACATTTATTTTCTTCTTCCCTACTCATACACCCTCCTTGTTCATTTTCCTCTCCCCCACTCTACGCATCTCTTCACTCAACCAGTTAAAAATAGAGAATCTTCTAATAACTAAGGAATGTAAAAGTTAAAACTATTTCTTTTTTATTTAAGAAAATGTAATGAGGATCATCTTTAACAAATTCAAAAATCAAAAATATGTGGCCATTCTGGAAAAATCAGCCCAAATTTTATATAAGAATCAATATATTACCACATGCACTTTAATCAAATTAAGCAATATTCTAATAAGTGGAATATTAAAGAATACAGAATACAACTAACCGTTTTATGGCAATATTCAGCTGTATTAACGATGTAGCAAATCACCTTCTCATCCCTATCAGATGTCTGCAAGGTGTTGTCACAGAACAGGTAAAAAAGAATAGATTGTTTTCCTCAGTGAGACATGTAAGACATGCATATGCTTACCTTGATCTGTCCATCTGTACCCGTGGCAGCTGCAACAATCCCTGTACCAGCCTTAGGTAATTTTCCAAAAAGCTTTGTGGCATATGTTCTTAGAATTTTTTGAAATACCTAAAAATGGACATAAAGGTAGTAATATTCTTCGTGAGATAAATAAAACCATCTTAAGAAACACTAAAAATATGGACAAAGAAAGATCGCTAACACAAAGTCTTGATAACATGAATAATAGCATGCTGAAGATACTAAGAACCTTGCCTTTTTTTTTTTTTTGACTGATAATACAAGAACCTCACTTAAGTCATCTAATTTCACAGTGGGATGATAAAAATCATAACCTAAAGTAAGGACAAAAAAAGGAAATTCATTGAGCAAGAAGAATGCTGACACAGATGACAAATTCAGGACACATACAATATATACATATACAATATATAGTTGTCTAGGCAACGCCTAGGTGACAAGGTGCCCTTGGAGGCTCGCCTTGCCTAATCGCCAAGCAGTTTTCTATAGTGTGTTAGACAAAACTTCTATATTCTTAATTTTTTGAGGTTATAATTTTAAAATAGACATTTTTAAACTAAAATATTCATTTTGTGTGTTTATATACTAACTTCTTTTTTATTATTTTCTTATTTGTTAGGGTTTAATCAACACAAAACATTGCTAAATGCTGTATTGAACCCTGAAAGACTTCAAAACCTGAACCAACAAGTAAGGAAGAACTTAAAATGTTGTCTAACCAACACATTTACTTCTTTTTCTTCACTAATTTAGTGTGTCTATACTATATACCAATTTTTCTTCTTCCACCTTTTCTTTTCTTCTTTTCCTACAACAGAAATCGCGGTTCAGCCCTTATATTTTTTGAAATTTCTTTTCTTTGTTCTTTTTTTCTCATGAATATGTTGGAATATGTTGATTTTCTATACTTTAACATGAAGTTTGTACTTTTCTCATGAAAATTATGGATAATTATTAAGGAAATATGATTATGGAACCTAGGGAACTACCCTAGGATACATATTTTTACTTGAAAAAATCCACCGCCTAGGCTTGCCTTGGCGCCTTGAAAACTATGATACAATATAAAGAATGAGAAATGAAAAAGAAGTATGATCATGAAAAGAAAAAGAATCTAGTATATCATGCAATTCGAAAGATATGGCACTGAACAGAACGGAATGGCAAATCAGGATTCATGTAGCTGAAGCCATATAGATGGGTCTTGAGCCATGGTGATGAGTGATGACGACAGCTAGTGTCTAAGAAAGAAAAACCCATTTGGACAAAATATGTAGCAGATGAATTCATCAAGCAAGGCCACAATGAAAAGCACATAATTGAGAAATATAAGGCATGTGATTTAGATGATCTGGATTTTGCAAACAAGGTTTCCACCATTGGATAGCTTAGTGATCAATCCAACACTTAAAGCTGTACCATGCGACTTATTCTTGGTATTTACTAGATGTATACCTCATATGTGTGAATGGAGTCATGCTTTAATAAAAAATGCCTTCCATATTTTAGAGTGAAAGCTGTAACATAAAACCACTCTCAATACCTTCAAAAACGATGCAAATCAAGAATTTACCTTGAACATATTAAATAAGGTTTGGCTCTTTGTCAAAGCACTGCATCTCTTCAAGGATCTCCTGATTACCAAAAATAGCTGCATAAGACAAGGACAAGTTAAAGAAGCATACATAAACTTTATTTCGTGATGCTAAACCAGAAAAAAAAATGCATAATATTTGGATCAATGCAAATTGCCCCTAAACTTGTACTTGCCTTCTGCTTTCCTCACTACTCACCATGGAATTAGCCTAAGAGAGGGTTACATCATTTTTTGCCAATATGTTCTGTCTAGTAATGTCATATTCCAGATTCAACCCTGTAAGGAATTCTTTTTTTTTAGAAAAATTTAACTAGGATTCATTAAAGGAAGAAGAGGTACATGAGAAGATGTACAAAGCAGGGGAAGAACCCCTACAAATTACAAAGGAGGAAGCTTGTCGCTATACAAATGCTCCAAATGCACACCACATTTGGCTAAGCCATCTACTGTATGATTGTGTTCCCTAGGAATTCAAACTAATTTTACATTTAAACAGTCCAAATAGTCCCTAGCCTCTGCCAAATAGTGACTCAATCCCCAATGTTCCCCCTCTGTCTATTAATCATTTTATAGTATTTGCTGAATCACCTGCAATGATTAAATTCTGGATTCCCAAATTTTATATTATTATGATTCCTGTGAGAACAGCCATCACTTCAGTCTTTGAGGAATCAGCCAAACCAATTGGACCGCTGAAAGTCCAATAAACGTTGCCCCTTTCATCCCTTACTGTGCCTCCAATACCAGATAAGCCAGGATTACCTAAGGCACTTCCATCGAAGTTTAGGGTCATCTCACTCCTTCACTGATGGGGTCGGGATGTCTCAAGGATGTTTGATGGAGGTGAGGAGAAACAAAAAGGGGTAAGCGTCTCTATTGAGATCATTGACTGAGAGTCCTTGGAAGTGATCTGAGTTCACCGTCCAGAGGTTGCGAAGGTAAGTAATGTCTGAAATTAACTCCTCCAGGGGCCTGAATTTGTTGCCAAAGAGGCGTTTGTTTCTTTCATCCCAAACTCCCCACAAGACTGCATGTAGCACTGATTGCCAATAAACTTTACCCCTTTTACTTAAACTTGTTACGTGCCATTGATGCAGAAAGTTCATAATGTGCTCTGATACAACCCAGCTGTAACCTGCCATTTTCAAGAAATGGAAACAAATCTTTTGGGTCAACTTGCAGTGAAGAAAAATGTGATCTGCTGATTCACTTTCACTGAAGCATAAAATGCAAACATGAGGAGAGATGGAAAGTCTTCCCAAAAACTTTTTCTGCAAGAGATCACAAGTATTTAATTTATGGAGACAAGCTTCCCAGACAAAGAAACAAACTCTTGAAGGGATGTGGCTACACAAGATCTTCTTAAAAGGAAAGGAGGAATGTTGTTCATCAGGAATCAAAACCTTGAACATAGACTTAGAAGAGAACTCGCCAGCAAGGTGAAGGGTCCAGATTCGGGTGTCAGAATAGGAGGGGGGATGTAGGCTCCTTTAAGGGTCTGAATTAAGTCTATTAATTCAGGAATCTCTGAATCCCTTAGAGGTCTTCTGTGTCGAAGGTTTAGGGTGTTCTCTAACAGTTTGGTCTGTAAGGCAGGAAGAAATAGTGGCTTTTGTTCAAACACCCTATTTCTTTCCACAAGTCTTCTATATGTTTCAACATCCTTTTTACTGTCCCAAACATTTACCTCCATCAAACATCATTTTTCAGCTTATATGCTCTAGCCCCATTCAATTTCTAGGAGTATGTCTTTGCAACACTATCCCAAATCCCCTTCTCAGAATTTACCCACAAGTAATGTTGGCTAATATGAGGCTGCATTAAGTTCACCAACCAACCAATACCAGTATAATTTTCTTGTATCCACTTCCTGTAGGAGGAATCATCTTCCTTAGGTTTCTTCTTACTAGCGGAGATATATCCCTCTTTCCTCTACTACAAACATATATTCTCACTGACCATGACCAAGACAAATAATTGGTTCCATCAAGCTTCATTGTAGTCACAACCAGTAGAGGATCAACGGAAGCTCCTAAAACATGTTTGAACTTTGAGCTCTGCTTGATCTCTACTTCAAAGTGCTCCATTACTTCTAAAACTTCAAGGAACAATCTTCAAATAGTAAATAAGAATGACTGAAAAAGATAACTGCTACTGACCTCAACAGGATCCCCGAACTGTGAGTTCACCATACCAGGCAACCCGGGAGAAAACAGAAAAACCAAGCTGCCCCTTATAGGACTTCCAGAATTCAATTCTAATTGGATTGATCTGTATAGGGATCAGAAAGAAACCCTTCAAGCCTTGAGCAGTGGGTTGGAACCCCCTCTGGGATCCTTAATTCTAAAATCTCCAGTTAGCTAGGGTTTTAGACAAGAACTCCAAGAACTGTCTTCGGCACTAGTCTGAACACTTCTTTTCTCTTAAAATCCTCTACCAACTAGGTTGATTATCTTCTCTAATCAATCAACCATTCAATTCTCCATACACATTGTGGATGTGTATGGGATTAAAAAGAAAAGAAAAATGGTAGTTGTATTGCTTTGATACCAAGAAGAAAACTAACCAACAATTAATTCTTTTGTTTAATCAGAAAATACAGCAAAGAAAAAGTATGAGAGCAAGAGAGCAAGAGAATAGAAGAGAGGAGAAGGAGAAGGAGAAGAGTCAACATACTCTCTCTCCAACCTGCTTCTAAAGAAAACAGGTTAACAGGCCCATTAACTCAAAAAACAATAAACATAGAGCTGATCTAAATTATGGTCCATCCAGCCCAACATTTCTACAATGTTAAATGGTTTATACTTTTCACATACAAATAGACTTCCATTCACTAGATAGAAGTTTGCAATCTATTTTTATTTTATTTTCTTGTTTCTTTTTCTGATATTTATGTAAAGTATAGTCAATAATCTTATATATATATTAAAGGGAAAGGGGTGGTCTCCCCTTTCGCCAAATGGCAGTATTTCCCTTTATATATATAAGATTCTTCATTGAAACATAAGGTTCGACCGTCCGGTTCAAACGGACGGCCCATTCTGACAACCGATGGTTTGACCATCCAATTCGAACGGACGGTCCATTCTGACAACAAAAATTACAAGCAAAAAATTATGTAACCATTCTAGCCACCGGTTTTCGGTTTGACGGTTCAATCGTCCAGTTTGAACGGATGGACCGTTCTGACAACAAAAATTACAGGCAAAAAATTCAGTGAGGTCCATTGAGTAGTATCATACGTGTTATGTCATTCGAGCGTGTGACTCATACGACCGAAAGTGGAACCGATTTAGCCACTGGTTTTTGGGTCGACGATTCAACTATCCGGTTGGAACGCACAACCTGTTCTAACAACAAAAATTAAAAAAAATTAAAAACATCCAAAAACCATTGAATGGGTCAACGAGTTGACGGTTCAACCACTCGGGTCAATGGGTCATTGACCAATTCAACGGTTTTTGGCCATGGACCGAGATTGGGGAAAACCATAATCATTTGCCTAGATGGTTTCCAATTAAAATAAATAAATAAAAAACGGACGGGCCCGTTCTGACAACAAAAATTATAGGCAAAAAATTGAGTGTGTGAGGTCCATTAAGCAGTATCATACGTGTTATGTCATTCGAGCGTGTGACTCATATGACCAAAAACGGAATCGTTCTGGCCACCGGTTTTCGGGTTAACATTTCGACCATCCGGTTCGAATGGACAGCCCGTTCTAACAACAAAAATTAAAAAAAAAAAACAAAAAGCGACCAAAAACCATTGAACGGATCAACGGGTCGATAGTTCGATCGCTCGGGTCAATGGGTCGTTGACTGATTCAACGGTTTTTGGCCAGGAACCGGGATTGGAATAAAACGGAACCGGTTGCCTAGATGGTTCCCAATTAAAAATATAAAAAAAAACGGCCAAAAACCATTGAACGGGTCAACGGTTAGACCGCCTGGGTCAATGATTTGTTAACCGATTCAATGGTTATTGGCCAGGGACCAGGATTGGAGTAAAACGGAACCGGTTGCCTAGATGGTTCCCAAGCCAAAATGTCCATCCATCCGGGTCAACGGTGGTTCAAAAACCATGGTTTTTATGCTTTTGGATTTTCACTATTCAAAGGTTTCTTCTACTGTGGGCTTTATTCAAGCATGTGTGGTATGTTCCTTTTTCTTCATTTTCTACTTTTGTTTTGTTTTGCTTTTTTGTGTTTGGTCTTCTTCAAAATCCTCCAAAACAGTCTAGGGTTCACCACCATTTTATTTTTTCCCTTTTGTTTTTTCTTTGGGTTTTCTTGTGCAGTGTTTTTTTTAATTTTCTTACAAGGCAGTCTACTTTGTCTCTTTCTTTGATTGCATGTATCTTTAGCTCCGTCTCAAAGCAGAACTTTGGACTCCATTTTCTGAAAGGAGTTCTCAATGTGAAACAAAGGACAGCTATGAAGTAGAACTCAGAACTATCATTGAATGATCGTGTTATTTTACATGAGATGCTTTGCTGAAGCAATATTTAAAAAACAAGCACATGATGATCTCTTTTAAGTCTTTATATGAGTTTCAAGACTTGAGTACTTATAATTGCAAGTTTCTTATTAAGAAACCATTATCTTTTTTAATGAAGCAAATAGCAATGTTACAATTCCATGCAGGGGCCCTCCGCTAGTATCATAATTGTTTGCAAAATGTGTTATTGTTTGTCAAAATACTATGCAAATAATCTGTTTATATGTATATGTGCATATAAAATTCTTTCTGTATGTATAAATTAACTGATAATATATGTATAAAAATTTGATTATGTATCTACTTACATAATTATATTGTGCTTATATATTCATTTTATATATTTTACAAATTTCTGTTCATATTCTATTTATTTTTTGAATTTAAAAATATTTGTCTTTTTATAAGTAAAGAAAAGTTCTATTAAATAATCATAACAGTAACTTATACAATGAGGCTTCCCACAGAGAGATGCGAGATGCAGCCTCATGCACCCCTTGCTAAGCTAAGTCATGTTAATATTATAGAATATTTGTTATCATTTATTGTTTTCAACTTATTCATTATGTTATTGAAATTATATATCTATAAGCAATAGTTATGATGTTCAGTGGCATTAAGTTAATAACATCATGAAATACAGAACAGATTCAATCAAGGGGAAAATTGTAAACAGACATTTCTCTGAAGCAAGGTTTAAAATGTCGGTATCAGTCATCTAAATATAAGAAACATGTTGGAAATATCATATGGGAATATTGTAAAAATTATAGACATGGTGAAAATATTGTTAAATATGTAAAAATATAGAATGATATGTTATGAAACGATAAAAGAAGCATAGACACACCATTTTAAATTATTATCTTGTAAATCACTAAACAAAGCTAAGAAACTAAAGTCATAGACAAAAGAATACATTTTGAAGTTGCCCTTCTAACCTTTAAGATGCAGAACTTCACGATAGAATGAGTTAAAAAAAATAACTCATAGAAAATGTAAATGGTTGTAATAGATCAACTAAATAATCTATTACACAAACAAAACTAATATTTAACTCAAAGTTAGGTGAGCAATAACATTGTTTTTTTTTTTTTGACCAGCAAAAAACTGAGAATTTTATTAAAAAGAACTAAAATTTGATACTACAATAAGTCCAAACAATCCCCACAAGGAACAAATGTTACAAATGGTGGGCAATAACATTGTTACTCCACATACCTACAATATTGTCACAAACCTATGTTATAGTACTACCTCTTGTACTCCACATTGTGCGGGTAGTGTTCACTGGGGAATATGTCAATTTCATTAAAACTTCATGTTGCTACCCACGAAAGTGGAAATGGAAATATGTCGTGGAAACTATCTCTTGTACTCCACATAGTGCTTGTAGTGTTCATTGAGGAATATGTTGATTCCAGTAAAATTTCACATTGCTACCCATGGAAATGGAAATATTAGGGATATTAGGGACATTTTAAACCATTCTCAGAAATCACGGCATTCAGATTACCTAACAACTTCATTACATTCAGCGAGCGGCAAAAGCAAAAAGCAAATTATACATGGTTTGAGCTCAATCTTTTCTAGAGTTCTCCAAATTTTCCATGGTTTGAGCTCAAAGCTTTTTGTTTTTTTTTTTTTATTTCCAAAAGGTCAGAACACAGATTTACTGAACACCACCTAAGTTCTCCAAGTCATAAATAGTTCTTGAATGTATCACCAACCATTTTGTATTAATATAGAATTATAGGTAAAAAAATCAAACAAAGAGGTTGGTGTTGCAAATGGGTAGAGGTGGACATTCTGAGCAATCAGTATCAGGTGCCATGTCCCAAGAAACCTTTATGCCCACTACTTTTTCAGCATTGTCCATACAAAAAATCTTTCATCAAGAAAGAAAAGTGGGAGGGGATGGAGGGGGAAGACTGCAGAAAGTAAAAAACCACAATTAAGAGCAATTTTACATTACCTGCATGCTACTTGATAAAATATTAGTCTGACTTCCCTCCTCAATGTCCCAGCTTTCCTCCTGTTAAAACTAGGCTAGTAAGTTTCAGTCTGTGGAAACCATGAAACCAAGCAATGCATTTATTGCTGCAGTTATCCACAAATACCAATATACCTGAACAAGTTTCTCCATATGCTCCATAAGACTTTTCTCCTCTAATTCTACATACACTGTCATGTGAGGTTCAAAGCATGATGAAATAATGCCCCGGAAGTTGAACTGTCAAATAAATGAAAACAGATACTTCTGAGGAGATATAACTTCAAAAATAGGACTAAAATTAAAGAAGAAAATCACAGATGCCTCCAAAAGAAGCATAAAAGAAACCAAGAAAAAACAAAAACATATAATAAAAATGACAATCTCTAGATGTGGGGGGCATGTGCCACCCTCTGGTGGATCTCATCTTGGAGGCCCATGTGACAGATGATAATATGAGCATAGAATCCCATCAACCAACACACATGGATGACAGCCTCCATCCCCCTTCTTCTCTTTTGGATGTCCAAACAGAGCATGAAAGATCAAACATGTATGACAACCTAATAGGATCAATTTGGCTCATACGTGCTGGATATATCAAACAGAATGATTGTTCCCAATACACATGTAAAATATGTAATTTTGCATTGGCTAATCATCCATGTGATCTATCTGGAAGTGCAATAGATGCTTGTAAAAGGTATAAAAAAATAGACAAAACAAACTCAGAATTGGAAAAAATACCCCAGCACCAGGCACTGACAGATCTCTATGTCCATCTTTTCCCTGCCATTACAGTATGTAAAATAAGCATTTAAATCCAAGGAAAACTTGATTCCCACAAATGAACCAAAGAAAAATATAATACATACTTCAGTTTCGGTTCCTTGGTGTGCTGCAAGCTTTTTTTCATATTTTCTACGAATATCCAATACAGTTGGATTCTCATTCTCGCCCTTATCCATTTCCTCAGTGTTGCTCCCTGTTTCTTTATTCCGGGTTCCTCCACTGAACTTCTCTGCCAACTCCTCCTCAAATTCAAGAGTCCTTTGTAATGCCTAGAATGGTCAACAAACAAAGATCACCAATATGAAACAAATTTGATCCATAATGGCATAATTGTAAGATGGATGTACATAATGATCTGTTAAGGAAACTGCTTTTATACAAATTTTACCAGACTCAAAAACTATTTACAAATAAATAAAAAGAGAAAACTCAACCAATTATATTTGAAATATGATGTTTAAAATAGCATGCTTCCAGGACAGAAAGGACCTTGCATGTAACATAGGTGCCACATCCTTTACATAGTAATTCTTTTCTACAGTAATGGTCTTTATGGCAATTTTAGTTTATCTACCAACCAAGCAGAAGATATCCCCTCATTATTGAAAAGGTGTCACTAAGAGAATTAAGTATCCTACAGAGGCTTGGGCATTGCACACTTTGGCATTTCAAGAAGTTTAAAGTATGTGCCTCTGCCATATCCTATATTATAAATTATATACATACAAATAGTAAGGAAAATCTAAAATAGGCTTAAAAAGATAAATGTTCTAATAAGTTTAAGTCTTTATGAAATGGTTTTCAAACAATTTCACAACATTTTCAAACCTAAAGGTGAGGGGACCCATTGTAAGTTCCTCTAGTTGCAAAAATTAAGAGCCAAATCATTCGAAGTTGTTCTAGCCAGTGCTTTGAATAACAACAAACAAAATTAATCCTTCCACTCTACTTTCACCAAAAATCTATCCAATTTTGAGCACACAGGATTTGCTTGCAAGCTAAACCACGTAAATTTTGCATTGTATAGATCATTATAATTAGTGAAATATTCATTAAAAAAGAAGAAATAATAAAGAAAATATTTTTTTCCTATTTAGAACAAAGCTACTTTAGATATAACCATTTTCAGCCTTTCTGTTTCTCAAGAACATGTGGAACTACAAATACAGAAAATATTGCTAATAGGCTTTTACATGACAGTTGTTTCAAATGCCCAAACATACCATCAATAATGTCCCGACATCTGGCTTTTCTTTAAGATTATCAAGGATCTCCTCAAGTTGGGCCCTGAAAATTCAGAAGCAATAAATTTGTTCATTTTAATCACTTGGAAAAATAATTAAATCTTAGGAATGAATACATTGTATAGTAAACCTTTACAACAAAAATCCTATAGACCTGCATGATAACATCACCAAAAGCTCCTCCTACTCAACCCATTCAATCATATTATTTCATAAAAGGAGAAGCACTTCCTTAGAACCTTTATTTATCAATAAAGAAAAACTTTTTATTAATAACGAGGGTAATATACTAGAAGCAAGACCTGATACTAGCAATAGGAGGCCAGAGGCAACCCAACCCATAAAACATCCCTACACAAGTTTACATACAAAATTACAATCTCCCAAGGTAAAGCTAGCCCCAAAATAACTTAGCTCTTCACTATACAAATGTGAAGAATACATTTCACTATACAAATGTGTAGAATACATTTTCATTTGTATAACAAAAATGGTTTCGACAAATACAAGTGAAAATGATGTTACACATCAAACAGAGACATACAAGAAAAAAAAACAATGAGCAGACACTCCAGAGCTGTAGTTGCAGACCAAACAACCTATCTTAAGTTCTTTTTAATGACAAACTTAACTAGAACTTTGTAAAAATAAATGAGCAATTGACAATCTGGAACAAGTTGAGACCCAATGCAACTACCTCCTCCTCATAGGTCAATGACACCTGGCCTTCCAACTTAAAAGAGAGGGAATACCAATAGAACGCTTCATTTAATTAAATGGGCTTTAGTTAGCCCACTATTCTTGTTGCTTCTTTAATGGAAATTTTGGTATTTGAGATACTATTCGCAAACACCATTCGCAATATCAACAATATTTGGCAATATATCCCCATTTTCTATGTGGTGACACAAAATCTTCAAGAATTTTTTTTCCAATATCCCCGATATTTTGCCCACATGCCAGCAATATTTTAGATTTCATTGATAAACTATACATTTTAAATTTTAAATTGTAAAACAATTAAAATCTTTTCAGTATTTCATTATGTAGAGAAGATGGGCCAAATGGCCCATAGGCTGTTTATCCTTTTTTATCTTTTATGTTCTTTGTTGTAATGGGCTTTAATCTGGGCTTTATTCTTTCTTATGTTATGTCTTTTTAATTTTCTGCCCAACTAGGGGCTTCTCTGTAAATTACTAAAGTTTAACTTAATGAAATAGAATTAAGGGACTAAGAGAAGAGATTATATTCGAAAATCTCTCTCTCTGAACCCAAGTTGCCGTCACCTTCTTCTTCTTCTCTCAACTCTGATTTCTGCTACTTTCTTTTGAACTTTTGCAACTTTCTAAACAGTCATTTCTTCTCAAAAGGCTGTTTTTCTTCATGGTATCAAAGCAAGCTCGTTTTTCCCTTTTTTTCACCATTTTTCCCATACACAGTGTGTATGGAGAACTGAATCGTATGAATAGTTAAAGAAACCTATTTCAGCCCAATTGTTAGTGGTTTCTAGAGAGAAGGGGACTGGTTTTGTCGTCCTCTTGACAGATTCAAGTGTGTTGCCCGAAACCCTAATTTTTTGGAGAAATCTGATTGCAGGCCCCACAGGGAGTTTGACCTGGGCGCTCAGTGACTGAAGGCCTTCTCATTCTTCTTCTTGAAGATCGAATCAAGTGGATTGGTGTTCTGTGAAGTCTACAAGGAGCGACTAAGTTTTCTCTGTTTCTCCTAGCTTCTGGGTGTGACGTAGGTTACTGGTACGGCTATATAGAGGTTGGCTCACAACACAGTTTTTGTCTTGTCTTCATTTGTTGTTATTCGAAGTTGTTTGAAGTCATTTTTTAAGTATTTAAGAAGATGAACTCCTCAGACTTTGAAAACAAGCATATTGCTGAATCCGGACAAGTTCTGGGAGCCTCTATAGACTTTCTACTGGCTGTGACCACAGTCAAGCTAGATGGAACTAATTATCTGGCTTGGTCACAATTAGTAAAAATTCATATTTGTAGTAAAGGCAAATGGGGTTTTATCTCCGGGAGCAAAAAGGCTCCTCCGAAAGATGATCCATCATATGAAAAGTGGATGCAAGAAAATTATACTGTTATTGGATGGCTTGTGAAATCAATGCAACCACAGATTAGTCATCACTATTTGTGGATGAATTCAGCAAAGGAAATTTGGGATAGTGTTGCTGAAACCTATTCCCAAAAATTAAATGTGGCCAGGGTTTACAAGTTGAGAAGTGATGTGAAGAATTTGATACAGGGGGAGAAACCATTAGCTATATACTTCTCAACACTGAAGTCTTTATGGCAAGAAATAGATTTGATAGAAACTATAGCTTGGGACACCACTAATGGTGTTGAGACCTATAGAAAACTGGTTGAGAGAAACAGGGTGTTTGAGTTCTTGACAGGGCTAAAACCGGAGTATGACATTACAAAGCAAAATATTTTATCCAAGGATAGTGTCTCACTATCTCAAGCATATGCCTTGGTAAGTAGTGAAGAAAGTAGAAGACTTGTCCAGGTCCAAGGGGGCTGGTCTAAATGATCACTTTGCTAATATGGGAGTGAAACCCAAGGGGGTTGCAGGGACTCCAAGTAGCTCAGGGAAGAAAGAGATTATCTGTGAGTACTGTAAAAAGCCAAAACACACTAAAGACAAGTGTTGGAAATTGCATCCTGAGCTCCTACCACTTCGGTTTCAAAAGAAGTCTGATAACATAAAGGCAGGGAGTGTTAATGTTGCTACTGGTCCAATTAGTGACAGATACCAAACTAAAGAAATGACGGCTAGTGAGCAGTTCGTAGCTATGAAGGCAGAATATGAGAAGTTTGGGAGGATGATCAGTCACCTAGAGGGTGTGACCTTTTCTTCCAACCCTCCAGGAAATTCAACCTATTATGCATTTGCTCATTTAGGTATACGGGCTTCTGCCAATCATGCAACCATTTTCAGGTAATCCGTAGGATCCCTTAGATTATTGATTCCGGTGCTTCTGATCATATGACCAGCCTTTCTACTTTGTTTGTTTCATATGATTTACTTCCTGGACGTGAAAAAATCACCCTAGCCGATGACTCTCTTGCCCTTATCTCTGGTAAGGGAACCATCAAGGCTACAGACTCCTTGGTTCTCCCTTCTACTCTTCATGTACCCAGACTAAATACAAACTTATTATCTGTAAGTAGCCTAGCTAAGTCATTAAATTGTTGTGTAACCTTCTTCCCTTCCTACTGTGTTTTTCAGGATCTGGAGTCTCTGAAGGTGATTGGGAGTGGCCGTGAAGCAAATGGAATATATCTGCTGGATACTCCTGGATAGTGCCATGAACAACCTGGAAAAACTGCTTTTGGGTCTACATCTACAGAGTCTATCAGTCGAGTCATGTTATGTCATTTTCGTTTGGGTCATCTTTCTTTTTCTGCATTAAGTCATTTATTCYCAGAACTGYTTAAGGGAATTAGTTTGTCCAGTCTTCATTGTGAGTCTTGTGAACTGTCAAAACATTGTAGAAACAGTTATCCTCTAAGTAATAAAAGATCTTCTCCTTTTAATATTGTACACTTTGATGTGTGGGGGCCTAACCACTTACCTTCTATGGGTGGCTACAAATATTTTATCTTGTTCATTGATGACTTTTCTCGGTTCACTTGGATATTTTTTATGAAGTCCCATGATGAGGTTCCTAGACTTGTGAGGCAATTCCATGAATTTGTCCTAACCTAATTTGATACCAGAATTAAAATTTTCACATCCGACAATGCAAAAGAATATTTTGAGAAAAACCTGACCTGCTATCTCACTGATTTAGGGGTTATTCACCAAAGATCCTGTGTTAGGACCCCAAAACAGAATGGAATTGCTGAAAGAAAAAATAGACATATTGTTGAAGTTGCAAGAAGTATTCTATTTGCCTCACATGTCCCTACAAAATTTTGGGGTGATGTTGTTCTCACTTCTACCTACCTTATAAACCGTATGCCACCCAGGGTTTTAGGGTTTAAGTCTTCCTTCAGTCTTCTTCATCCGGACAAGGATCTTTTTCCTATTCCTCTTTGTGTCTTTGGCTGCACTTGTTATGTACATATCCCAAGTGTCCAGAGACATAAATTTGAACCAAAAGCCCACAAGTGTATCTTCCTTGGTTATTCCCCCACACAGAAGGGTTACTGTTGTTTTGATCCGAAGACTGGCACTTGGTATGTCTCAATGGATGTCACCTTTGATGAGCTTTCTTCCTTTTATGGTTCTTCTCTGGAGAGACATTGTCCAAAGGGGGAGGATTTGTCATAGGTGTTTGCTCTTCCTCTTCCTCTCCCAGTTGAGTCTCTTCCTCCTTCAAATGAGTCAAGGGAGGATCAGTCACTTCACTCTCATTCCAGTGTTCCTATTCCTCCTCCTTTACCTCATCGCCCTCTTTTTAATCCCTGGTTGTACCAACGGCAGAGAACCAGAAATGAGCAGATTGTTTCCCCTACAACACATGAGCCTCATGCACTTCCAGTTACAAATGAGACAACAAGTACTGTTACAGCCCCTTTGGAGCCATCATTCCCAGACCTTGATATCCCCATTGCTATTAGGAAAGGAAAAAGGAAGTGTACTGCACATTGCATTTCCAAACACCTTTCTTATAGTTTGTTCTCTCCTTCATATTTTGCCTTTCTTCAGTTGCTTCTAACCCAATTCCCAGGTCTGTGTCAGAAGTTCTTAATATTCCAGAATGGAGGGATGCTATGAGAACAAAAATTGATGCCCTACACAAGAATGACACCTGGGAAGTGGTTGATTTGCCTTAAGGGAAGGATCCAGTAGGTTGTAAGTGGGTTTTTACTATCAAATATCATGCTGATGGCACCATTGAAAGGTACAAGGCCAGGCTGGATGCAAAAGGCTATACACAGACATATGGGATTGATTATCTAGAGACCTTTGCCCCTATTGCCAAGATTACTTCTGTGAGAGTTCTGCTATCTTTGGATGCACACTCAGACTGGCCACTTTACCCATTGGATGTAAAGAATGCATTTCTGAATGGAGAGTTACATGAGGAGGTCTATATGTCTCTTCCTCTAGGGATGTATGAAACAGATATGAAAGGAAAGGTCTGCAGGCTGAAGAAATCTCTTTATGGACTCAAACAGTCCCCTAGAGCATGGTTTGAAAGGTTTAGGGCTGCCCTTGTTAGCTTTGGCTATGTACAGACACAGTCTGATCATACCCTCTTTGTGAAGAGGAGAGGATCCTTGACCGCTTACCTGATTGTGTATGTTGATGATATTGTTGTGACTGGTAATGATGTCTCAGGGATTAATGATCTCAAATCTTTCTTTCATACAGAGTTTGAGATCAAAGATCTAGAGCAATTGAGATACTTTCTTGGCATAGAAGTTGCTAGATCCAAGGATGGGTTTCTTATCTCTCAGAGAAAGTATGTTCTTGATTTGCTCTCTGAAACAGGGAAGATGGGTGCTAGACTAGTTGCTACTCCTATCGATATGAGCCATAAACTCTCTGCTTTAGATGGAATATTGTTAGAAGATAAGGGAGTCTTCCAAAAACTACTTGGAAAACTTCTTTATCTATGCATGACTCGGCCAGACATTGCATATGTTGTCAATTGCATCAGTCAGTTCATGCATGCTCCCAGGGATACTCACATGGCAGCAGCAGAGCAGATTCTGTGTTATTTGAAGGGCTCCCCTGGAAAGGGAATTCTATTTGCTAAACATGGCCATATGAAACTTGAAGCCTACACAGATATTGACTGGGCTAGAAACATTGATGACAGAAGATCTACCTCTAGGTACTGTAGCTTGGTGGCAAGTAATATTGTCTCTTGGAGAAGCAAGAAACAATCAGTTGTTGCTCGATCTTCAGCCGAAGCAGAATACAAAGCCATGGCTCATGGAGTTTCTGAACTATTGTGGCTTAGATCCTTAATGGAGGAACTGGGTGTTGAGCATGATAAGCCAATGATGTTATACTGTGATAATCAGGCCGCCATCAACATTGCTCACAACCCAGTGTAACATGATAGAACTAAGCATATTGAAGTTGATAGACACTTCATTCGAGAAAGAGTGACTTCTGGAGAAGTGTGTCTACCTTTCATCACTTCTGAATGACAGTTAGCTGATTTCCTCACCAAGGGCATTCCCAAGGATAAACTTCAGCGTGATACTAGCAAGCTTGGCATGATTAACATCTATGCTCAGCTTGAGAGGGAGTGTAGAGAAAATGGGCCGAATGGCCCATAGGCTATTTATCCTTTTTTATCTTTTATGTTCTTTGTTGTAATGGGCCTTAATCTGGGCTTTATTCTTTCTTATATTATGTCTTTTTAATTTTCTACCCAACTAGAGGCTTCTCTGTAAATTACTAAAGTTTAACTTAATGAAATAGAATTAAAAGAGTAAGAGAAGAGACTATGTTCGAAAATCTCTTTCTCTGAACCCAAGTTGTCGCCACCTTCTTCTTCTTCGCTCCTCTTAAACTCTGATTTCTGCTACTTTCTTTTGAAATTTTGCAACTTTCTAAACAGTCCTTTCTTCTCAAAAGGCTGTTTTTCTTCTCATTAAAATCATCATAATTTTTTTAAAATATTTTCCTACAAGAACCAGTAGGGAATTGGTGATTGGATAATTGGCTTACTACTTTGATATGATTTACTTACTGCGTCACTAATTCAAAAGAAAAAGAAAAATGTATATAACTACAAAAGAGTATTCTCAATCTAATCAAAACATATAGAAACAATAAAGCCAAAAGTTAAAATGGCAAATAATTGGCATATATAAAGAAGAGAAGATGGCTAAAGACCAAAAGGGAGAAAGAGAAACAAATCTATTAGTCTCTTAATTTTTCCTATTTGATTTAAATAGTTCTTTGTTACGGTTTTGAGCCTTAAATGTGCAATTATATTTCTTTTAATGATCTCTTGAAGGTTTATTAACTAATTCCATGTCTCTAGAAAAATTTCCTAATTTTTTAGATTTCCCAAATATCTTAGCAAAATATCTCCAAAACTTCTTGAAACTATACATGGTAAAATGTTAATCAATATTGATACAAACCATGTTTGCAAGAATTAACACTTCAGATATTTGTAAAAATTTTGTTTCAATTTATTTTAAAAGTTGATAGACCACTACTAGTGTATGAACAGCAATAAAAGATAATTTAGAGGTTGATAAACCATTACAGTGATGTGAATCCACAAAAAATATAGCGAAAAATGATGCATTTAAAAAATGTGTGCACTCTGAGCTGACACACAAGGTGCAACAGGCACACACCTTTCCAAAGAAGCACATGCCTTGAAATGCACCTAGCCTGTGCACCAAGGTGTGCCTCACCTGGAAGTTCCAATTGCTTATGGTAACAACAAAAGGAAATACCCCTATGGGCTATACCATATGGTGAAGGATGGGCCTTCAGACCACGGCATCATGGCTGAAATGTTTAATATAAAGAAGAAAAGCAATTATTCATCAGATATAAAACTTGAATTTCTGTCATAGATTTGAAACTCTTCACAATTCAAATATAGCTAAGCAGCTCTCTTCAGTTTTCATAGGTAATAAAAGTTTCCTTGTATAACATTCTTCCTCATCAAATATAAGAAGCTTACCCAAACTGATAAATACTTCTTGAACACATTTTGAGGACAAGAATGGCCAGAAAAGATCTTTATTACAGTTTAATAATTTTAGGATTGGTCGTTTAGAAAGAGAAAGAACAGTTAAATAGAAGAAAGAGAAGATTTGAAAAATAAGAGCCACACCCTTCTTGAGTTGTTTTATTAATTAAGTGAATGGAAGAATAAGATTACAATAAATGTCATTGATTAGATACAATGTAATCTGACTGATGCTATTAGTGTAATATATATATATATATATGACAACACTTCCCCTCAAGCTGGTGCATACACATGCCCAGCTTATCAAGAACTTCCGTTAACTAAGTTTCATCAAAAGCTTTGGTATAACACATCAGCTAATTCATCACCAGTCCTCAAAACAGGGTAGACAAATTTCCTCAAAAAGCAACCTTCTCATGAATAAAATTCCCATCCACCTTGATATTCTTTGTTCAAACATATTGAACTAGATTATGCGCTATTCTGAGAGTAGTTTGGCTGTCACAATATTGATTCATGGGACCCAGTAACAGGGCATCCAAACTCTTGTATAAGAGTCTTGAGAACAGTTGTAATCACCTTATACTTAGCATTATCAGAAAAGAATCCTAAAGAGTTTTATTCAAAAGAAAGTTTGCATTATATGACCTGGGGAGAAAGTAGATGCCTTGAACCATATTCTAATTAATTTAGTGAATGTAAAACACCAAAACCATGCTTGTTTATTGTGTATGCTGTCAAACTATATAAATAGGACAATTGCAAAGATGGGTAGATAACATTATAAAGAATATAAAAACATCTTCTTAAATGCATCTAGAAACAGATGAAAATATTTGTGTTTCTCCAACCATGTATGGGCATGCCAAAACAGGACATTTATAACTGGAAAGAGCATTTATGCAGTCAATGACATCCAGGACAGAAAAAATCATTTTAAGAAGTGGTCATGTGTACTTTTTATAACTGGACACCTTTCCTACTAGCAATTCAAATTATTCAACGTCTAGAAGCTTCCATACCATAAATGGTAAATGTTATGACATAGAAAGGTGAGCAAATAACCTTAGAATGATTTTTTTAACAAGAAAAAATGTAAAGCTAAAGAAGACAAACCTTGTTAACTTACAAAACTGGATGCAAAGCAAATATGCAACATGCCATGAAGGAGGGAAGATTTTCCATATCTCCTCATTTGTGCGCAGACGACGCTTAATCCATGCATATCTCCGTTCAGTCTTATCCAATTTTGCCAGTTCTAATAGAAAATAGCACATATCAAGAAACTCCAGAACTAATGATAAAAATGAGTTGCACTGCTAACCCTAGCTCATCCATGAAAAAATGCATGACGAAACCCAAAAAAATAAACCTGCTCCTTCGAAGATCTGCCGATATGATGTAAGCTCCCTGCTGCAAAAATTCCTGACCAACTCTTCCCTAACAGATGGCTCCAAGGCATCAACTACTAAGCATGCATCTGAGAGCTGCTGCAGTAAGTTTGCTTCTTCTGTCTCTTTCCCTGTACCCAGGCTGCCAAAATCATAATATGATGTTATGAAGAGCATGAAAGCTAATACCATTTTAACATTTCAATTAAAAACGAAACAAAGAAACTAGGACAAATGGATGTGGATGCAACAGGAAAATCATTTTAAACAAATGTAAAAGATCTATCAATTTTAATGGACCATTCATCATGTCATTCGAATAATACAAAGTATAGAATCACAGTCAGTTGACCTATACTTCAGTTTTCTTTAGTTGGAAACCTTTCCTATTGAGAATATTTTGAGGAGCTGGAACCACATAGCTTACTCTACTGAAGCAAGAATAGTGACTAATTACTCTTAGCAGCTGCCCCTAATTTAGACAATCTCAAACTAAATTTTGACGCAAGTAGCCTGGAAAGTTCAAGGAATGCAGGCATTGGTGGAGTTATAAGGGCATTCTCAGGCGCAATAGGAAAGGAAAAGGCTTTAAAAGAAGAAATGATGACGTTACTTTATGGATTAAGGTTGGCACCCAATCTCAGCAATTTCTCAGCAGAAAGTGATTCTAGCAGTACAGTAAACAGCCTGCTGAATGCAAAATCAAGGATCATGGAGGTATAGAAGTTCAATAAGAGAGACAAAGACCTTGATAAGGTAATTGAGGGTTCAGACCCAATATATCCCAAGGGAAGGACAGCTTGGCAGACAGGCCAGAAAGTTTGTGGTAAACAAAATAGATATGTATTGGGGGGAAGGGGGTGAGGTGTGCTTGCGGCTACCAGGGATGGGGTGGTTGTTCGTATTTGGCACTTGTTGTACAGCTTATACATTCTTTTACAATGAATAAAGTTTATTGTTACTGATCCAAAAATAGAAAAAGAAAAGAACAAAAAGGGAAATGATAAATTTGACAGTTAAGTTCATATAGTTTCAGTGTTCCAATGGATAAAATTAATGCTAGAATGATGTATAAATTACAATAAAACCTTGGCATGTTTTTAAAATAATGAGGTACCTAAATGGTGGTTGGAGAAAGGGTTATAGATATAGAAGTTTTAAACTAACATACCTTGAGAAATCAGAGAATACATGAGATTTGAGTATTTGCTTGATGTTCTTGAATTTTTCCCTAAGCTCAGTAATCTTTGGAATATCTCTATAAGCTTCAAAATGACCACATAATTGGTTTACAGCCTGGAAATAATTATTATCCTATGTCAGTGAACATAAAATACAAGAGTGATGTCCCTTTCTACAAAAATTATTAAATTAGATCAAAACCTCAAACAAGTAATAGATAAAACATAATAGAAGGAAACAAGATTTTAGTTTGGGACATTATAATCATAACAATATCAAGGAACATAATAGATATGTTACAACACTTACTATCACAGATCCTAATTGTTAGAGTCGGCAGAATAAGGGGTAGTTTCATCTTTTTGTCATTTAATTTAAAGTGAGTTGTCTATTTTATCTGTGTTTAAGTCGTGTGTCCCATACTTAATGAGGGACATAATTGTCTTTTGAATCCTAATGGATAAGTTATAAATACAAGGTGGGTCGGCTGAGAGTAGATGATTTTTCTCTCTGGCCAAACCCTTTCTTTCCCTCATCTCTTATTTCTCTTCTTCTTTCTCTCTTTCTTTCTTGTTTCTAAACTAGGACTGAACTAGTGTCAATCCAACCACAAACACTAATGAAATACTCAAAAATTATGAATGCCTATTTTCCAAGACTTTTTAAGTCTAAGGTTAACCCAGTAAGGTTGATAAATCCTCGAGAGATGGCAGTCTATCAGCATCTGTGACATTAAGGCCTGTCAGAAAAGATGTAACATATCTGGTCTCTTCTAGACTTAATTCATTCTAACTATAAGGAGATAGTGTAAATGTCAAGAAAAGTCTTTGAAGGCATGATGACCAATGAGAGGCTTTATCAACATCAAAGAACTGTTGAGAAGGGTAATGAACAGAAAGCTTCAGCAAAGGAAGATGTTCAAGTGGACAGGGCAAGAAGAATTGTAATTGAAAATAAAAGCAGAGGAGAGAAGGTCCTTGAGAAGGAAATATGCAGAAGATAAGCATTGGTAGGATTTTTTTTTTTTGAAGGATAAAAAGGAAATTTTATTAAATTTAAAAAAGAAGCAGTACATCTCAACATGATGGTTGTCATGTTCACAAGCCAAATACAGATCAGCTCAAACAGACAAAGAATCAAAACTACAAGGATTCAGATCCAAGGTGCCCCAGAAATTTCCTAACAGATCAGATTTGCTCACTTGGTCAAACTCTGGAAGGCTGAGAACCCAAGCTGAAATCAGATTACCCACTCCTGCTATCAAACACTCAATGCTTTTATTCTTGTCCTCGAACACCCTTCTGTTTCTTTCTTTCCAAATGGTCCAGCATACTGCGAATGGGATGCAACTCCATAGGATTTTAGCTTTCTTACTTCCTCTGATTTTCAGTCATTTGGAGAAAATCTCTACTGGAACTGAAGGGAGAAATACATTCTCTCCAAACAGGAGAGAGAAGAATTTCCAGATAAAATCTACCACACTACATGAGAGGAAGGGATGAAGAACTGTTTCTTCCTCTTGATTGCACATATAGCAGCAGTCTTCTAAATGTATGCCTTCGGAATTCAAGTGATCTAATGTAAGGATGCTGTCATGTGCCACCAACCAAGCAAAAGCTTCTACCCTTGGGGGCACTGGGTTTCCCCACACACCCTTGATCTGGTCTGACTCCCTACTATCTCTAATCAAAGCATTGTAGAAAGATTTAACTGAAAATCTTCAATCTCTGCATTCTTTCCACCATAATCCATCTGCTGTAGCTCTGGATATATTTGTATCTTGTAACTTTTCCAGTAGCAGAATACACTCTTCCACTTCTTGGTTCCAAATCACTTGCTCCCCTCTCCACCCATAGCACTGATCAATAGTTACTTGCTGGTCTGTGGTCTGTCAACTTATAAAGCCTGGGACACACCTCACACAGTTTTCCAACCCCAAGCTACTCATCTTCCCAAAACCTTATCCTAACCTCTTCCCCCACTTTAAGTTTAACTAAACTTATGAAGTCCTGATTAAATTTCATAATTCCCTTCCATACACTTATCCCATATGAACCTCACCAACCCATATTTCCCAACCACTACCCTCCATAATTCCTCCCTCTCTCCCTCTTGCCCAAATCTCCACAGCCATTTCCCTAAGAGTTCCTTGTTGAATAATTTTAGTCTTCCCAGCCCCAAACCTCTCGTTTGATAGGTGGCAATTTTAGGGGAGGTTTCATGTTGTACATGATTCAGAAGTTGTTCAAGTTCAAGGTGGCTTAGTGTACCACTCTCTTCAAGTATGAAATTGCAATTATATCTAAAACTTACAGGCCTTTTCTTGAGAGAGAGCAGTAGCGTATCTTTTATTTTTCCCTTATCTATAACCCTTTGCATATGCAACTTGTATTTCTATTTCTCAAACACAGAGATAAAAAAAGGGCAGCCCAGTGCACAAGGCTCCCGCCAATGCAGGGTCTGGGGAAAGATAGATGTACACAGCTTTACCCCTGCAGATACACAGAAAGGCTGTTTCCAAGATTTGAACCCTTGTCATATGTTACCTATTAAAAAACAAGCAAAACAATTCAATACAAACTCAAATGGGAAAGTAGCACTGAAGACGATGACAGAATCTTGTCTCAGATATCTCGAGGATAAGGACAGCAAATCATACTCTCATGAGTAGGATTAGAGATCTACTCTTACCGGTGCATCTCTGAGTCCAGATCTGCTGACCACAACATATTGCTGGCTACGTTCACCCAGACGCATATCAGGAACATCGGTTATTAAATTATTAAGTACAAGAGATGTTCCCAATGTGTGGCTGGGTGAACATGGCCATCAATGTTGTGGTCAGAAGATCCAAACTCTTTACATCTACCCATGTCAAGGGTGCTAGAGGTTTGGCAATAGTATATCTCTAACTCTACTTATGATAATAGGCGTGGTGAGTAGGATTAGCATTCCTCTTTTAAGGATTTTCCATTTCCTCACTTTTCTTTTGTTCACACAAGCTTTTCTTACACTCAGTCCCAAGCCTGGATAGAGAGGATGGTGTCAAGTAAACTTTTGTCAAACTCTTAGAAACATGAATACTGATATGACTATTGTGACTCCATGCTAATTCCACGGAAGCAATGTATGTTATGTAGGGAACTATAGTCAGATGAATTGAAGAATAACAGCCATGAGGATCATGGCGAAGAATGGAGTGATCGCCTCAGTAAAAAAGAAGTGCCAAGACTTGAGGGTCGAAGCAATGATATTCATATTTAAGGAACTTGGCAAAGGAAACAGAAGGAAGTCGATGATATAAGAGATTGGGAAAGGAATGGTAATCCTGGAAGAAAAGAGTTCAGTCCAGTTCAAGGTATTTGTAGATGGAGTCCTCTTCACTAATCTGGATGGTGAGCACTCAAATACAATTAAGTTGATCATCAGGTCATATATTGCAGTCAGAAGACAAAACACCAAATGACAATATATTGTTCCCAGTGGAATATGTTGAGTAAAGCAGAAGGCAAGCAACATGAAATCCAAAGTACAGAAAGATGGCAGGATGGAAATCTTTGGAGGCCTGTTACAAGAACAGATGGCAGGTTTCCAACCACCAGTAAGGATCCTTGAGACAGTCAGCAATCAATGCAAGCACAGGTAGCTAAGAAAATGCTAACCATAGCAGAAGTATCTAGACCTTCCACATGGTAGTTAAAGGTAAAGCACCATGGGAAGATTACAAGGTAACCTCAGCAAAGTACTTGATAGCAGACTGGTGAGCAGGGCAGAATGTGATTGAGAATAAGTTTGGGGAAAGGATTACTCTCAAGCCTTCTCTTGGTGGATCAGGCAGTAATCTCCATTGAGGAGAACCCAGAAGTTGATGCTATGGTGGTGGAATTAGACTGTGGTCAACTCCTAGTATCAAACTGGTATCCAAGCTTGAATAAGCTGCAGCTGCACCATCAGCCTGAGACCATAAATATTGCTGTGTTAGGCTTGCTGTTCAACTTATGGAAGGAGGTCCTTCTGAAGATTGGGGACGCCTGTTGTGGCTCTGTGAAAACAGAGGAGCAAAGTAGAAATTTCAATAATCTTAGTGCTGTGATCATTAAAATTAAAGGAGATAGACCTCATCAAATCCTTCGTGTGGTAAATCAAATGCAAAAGACTTAACCTCAAAGCTTGGATACTTTCAGATATGGAGAAGAAGCTAAGGAGTAGGAGGCTAGAGGTTGAAGGCAACAATGAGCTTGCGAAGATTATAACACATGGCAGGAAAGGAATGGATGATTTCAGAAGATGTTCAGTTTTCACTTAGTCCCATCAAAAAGAAATCCAAAAGTTTAAAAATAGAATATAGGCACTCAAGAACCTATGCTGAAGCAGTGGTAGTGTTAAGTGTAGCATGGCTATTAAAGAAAATGCTGTGGAGAACTGGCCCAGGACTGGTCTGGGTAGCAACAAAACAGAACCAGATAAACAGATCAAATAAGGAGTGGCACATAGGTCTACACTGGCACGCAGGCTCTTAAATGATCACGTGAGCCTCAATAAGAAGGGTAAGGTAATATGCCGAGAATATAGTCGATCTTCTTCCTTGGGTGATTCAAGGCTTTCGAGCAAGCAATGAGAAAATGAGGGTGATTCCAAGCTCTTGACTTGGAAGGCAATACCACTATAGATTTTTGAGAAATACTGAACTGGACAATTTCCTTGCTGTTTCTGGACGACTGGACTTTGTGATTGGTGGAACATTTGGGTTGGGCTCAAGACATTTTCGAGCTTGGACTACCTAAAGGCTAGTCATGGCCTCATGGGCCCATCCAAGAAATGAATAAAATAAAATAACTGGGGTTTTGGACCTAGGCCCAGCCTGAGAATCAAAAATCCAAACCAGGCCATGTAAAATTTTGGACTAGGTCGATCTAGGGTCAGGTTGGGCTCACCCAAGTTGTATATCTATCTACAAAACCAGTAAGAAGAAGTGATCTATTAAATGTTGAAAGGGCCAGAACAGCTAAAGGCAGACCAAAAAGGATAGGGTAGAAGTAGTGAAAAATATTCTACCAAGAAAAAAGTAGTGAGAAATGATTTAAATATCCATAATAGATATGCTACTGAACAAAACAGAATGGTGGAACAGGATTAATGTAGTTAATCCCATATAGGTGGGACAAGGCTTAAATGATGACGATGACCTATTTGCTCCCTTTTCCATGTTGAAAACCATTGGCTTCCATACTCCAAAGCTGGGTTAAGGACAAAAAAGTGGAAAGCTGAGAATAAATTTATGCAATCTTTTTTTTATACTCAAAGTTGAGAAAGATTGTCTGAGTTGGATACGCCATGTGGGATCAATAGAATTCATCAGATTTTAGATGCTTTTCCTCTACCATGTGAAACTATAAGACGTTAATAGATTAGTATAAATAAATTAATACTTTGCTACCTCCAATTGTGCTGCTGCCTCCTTATACTGTCGTTTTGAAGCCATTACTTGGAGCTGTTCAACAGCTGACACTGCAATGCAAAGGAAACAGTCATGCATTAAAAATAGTAGGAGGGACATCTATATTCTGCACTTCCGAACACAAGGATGTTCCATTACAAGATTTTTTTGTTTTTTTTTTTTTGATAAGTGTTCCATTACCAGATATTTTAAGCATGTTTTAATATTATAAGGAGCATGCATAGACCTTTCAAATAATTTCTTTTATCAGAAACTGAATTTTTTGTCTTTCTTTTTTTGTGGTGATTTTCTTTTTTTCTTTCATCAGAAACAGAAATGAGACTGAAGGCATAAATCAGGGATAGCACAATAATTTCTTTTATCAGAAACTGAATTTTTTGTCTTTATTTTTTGTGGTGATTTTCTTTTTTTCTTTCATCAGAAACAGAAATGAGACTGAAGGCATAAATCAGGGATAGCACATAGACAAAATGAATCAACAAACAGAAGCTAGCAAAAACCATGGACAAACTTAAGATGGAACAGATGATCTCTGATACTCTCTAAAAAGACTATCAGCAAATATGTTGGCTGACCTTGGTTTTCATTTGAATTAAGATGTTCATACTGGATACAAAACATCTACCTTCACAAATATTGTGATGCAGCAACCGTGGCCAATAAGGAGTGTACTTATTTTCTCTCCCATGATCCTCTCTTTCCTTCTATGATCTCCCCCTTCTATCTTCTGTTCACTCTTCTCCCCTGTATCTCTTCTTGTTGTCTTGCTGATTTGCATGTTGAATCACACAAAAACATGGTTTCTGAGAAGTAGATCTGATCAACCTACTAGCCTTTTCCTCTACTCTTGATGTTCTTTTTCAGTTGTAACTTTGCACTATATCCTAAAAAATATTTACATGAATATTACAGCATATTAGGGTATATTATTGCTACCCAAACCCTTCCCATAGGGAGATTCTCATATGTATTACAAAGTAACTACCCAGTGAAAATTTTCACTGTTTGCTGCCCTAATGTGTCCATGAATATTCCACTCCCAACTCTCTTACTAGAGTTGTAGCATGACTTAGAGTGTTTCAATGTTGCCATCTTCCTTTAGAACTGTTTCTCAACCAGCCGATCACTATCATAGAGTCTCTTTCCACCTCTAAATTTTGCAGGTTAAGGTTCTTGCATATTTTTAGGACTTCAAAGACAGCTTGCAGTTATGTTCTTATGGAGTCTCCTTCACTTATTTGGCCAGAGTAGAGAGCAACAAAGGTAACTCCCCCATCCCCAAAGGGCCAGGGTTACCCACTCCTAAACTCTCTACCTCCTTGCTTTTACAAACTAGTTCCCAACTAATAAGATGATATTTCCTTTCTTCTCCAGGTTCCCACAAAAAATCCCTCATCACTTTATCCTATTAGATATAGATGCTAGTATTCTAAACAGATAAAAGAAATACAATAGGAGACTAAACAGATATAATTCTCCCCCCAAAACAAAAGGTAAAAATGCTTCCATGAGGCTAACTTCCTAGAAAATTTCCCAACCACTGCATCCCAAAGGTAGCTAGCCTTTTCCCCAAGTGGTGTAGAGAATCTACAGGCTGATCTATTACTCAGAGCACTTTTTTATCAAGTATCTTATATTCTTATGTACCATTTTTTTTTTTGAAGAGTGAATGAAAATTCATTAATCAAAAAAGGAATTACAATCCAAAGTATCTTATGTACCATATACTTATTCTTTTTATTCTTTCTTTCTACTGATCAAAAAAACAATATTCTTTCTTTCTTGTTCTCCCTTCCAGAACTTGTCTTTGACATGGTACCAAAGCAGGTTCACATTCCTCTCATCTGATCAAACTTCAGAACCAGCTTTTAAAAGGGTATTTCAAGAGCACTCAGATCTGCTGTTGGACACCTGTTTGGATCTCTTTGGAAGGTTGCTTTGATCAATACAAAGTTCATCTGTTTTCTCAAGAAAGACACCATGCAGGTTGGGATTTCTTTCATTTCTCTCAATCGGCTGAACCAAAGACATGGGCCTCTAGATCCTATGGCTCCCTGGGGTCTTTTATCTTCCCATCCGTGGTTTAAAATGTCCCTAATTTCCCTAATATTTCCACGACATATTTCCATTTCCATGGGTAGAAACACAAAATTTTACTGGAATCGACATTTCCCCAATGAACACTACCGAACATAGGTGGAGTACAAGAAATAATATCCACAACATATTTCCATTTTCACTTCCATGGGTAGCAACATGAAATTTGACTAGAATTGACATATTCCCTAGTGAACACTACCAGTACTATGTGAAGTACAAGAGATAGTATTATAACATAAGTTGATGACAATATTGTAGATATGTGAACTTGTGAAGTAACAAATTATTGTCGACCTAACTTACATGATTACAACCATTAACATTTTCTATGAGTTTAAATTTTGCTTTAACTAATTCTATCATGAAGTTCTAAAGCTTAAGGTTTACAGGGCAACTTCAGAACATATTCTTTTGTCTACAACATTAGTTTCATAGTTTTGTTTAATAATTTGGAACAAGACAATAATTTAAAAAGGTGTGCCTATGCTTCTTTTGTCATTTCATAAAACATCATTCTATATTTTGCATATTTTACAATGTTTCCACCATGTCTATAGATTTTACATTATTTCCATATGGTATTTCCGATATTTCTGACATGTTTCTTAATTTGGATGACCGACATTTCCATCGACATCGACATTTTAAACCTTGTTCACATCTAATTTATTTGGAGTCTGGAATGTTTCAAGAAGGGTTTCAATCCCTACGACTTGAAGGTGGCGATGGAGAGACAGTGGAGAAGCAAGATGACGATTGAGAAGATCTTTGTTTTAGAAGAAAGTAAAAGTTGAAACCATTCAATATTAACAATCAGGGAAGAAGGGAGAGCCACTATTTCTCTAATAGGAGAAGCAGCACAGTGGCTGAAAGGTTTCACGGATGGGTCTCTGTTCGCTGTTAAGATTGACAAGTGGAAAAGCTATCTGGATATGCCAAGTAGAAGGTATCAAGTGACTCTAAAAAATAACCGAAAAGGGTGGTTTTTGGAGTTTATAGGATTCTTTGGAAGAAATAGATGACAGTGCGTCTGTATCCCAGAAGGAAAAAGGAGTTGGGGTTGGAGATTGGTGTCACAGAAGCTTCAAAATTTTCTGATGCCGAAGGCAGGTGATGTGGCCATTTACAGATTCCCGGCCTTGAATGAAGGAGAACCCTAAGAGCTCTATTCCGGTAATTGTCGGTTTGAAAGAGAATCTGAGCACTGTGAACCTGAGGAAGAGCAGTTATACTCGGTGGCAAATAAACAAGAGGAAATGCTGCAACATTTTTCGGTGGTGAGTTTAGGAAAGTTTCACAGTTTAGTTCCGGAAAATGATAGTAGAGTTTGGGAAAGGAGATTGATTTTAAAGGCTGAGAAGAAGGTTCCTGACTGGAGAAACTATGAGTATCCTCTAGAGTTTCAATATTCCCTTTGAGGACAGAAGAGCTATTTTGGATACAGGGCCGATAACGGTGATTTTTTTGAAGGATAAAGAGAAATTTGATTAAAATGAAAAAAGCAGTATATCTCAAAATGCTAGTTGTCTAGTTAATAAACCAACTACACATAGACTAGAAATCACTGATTGCAGATTTAGTTGAATTCCTTGTGAAGGGAAAGAAGAGGAAGATGAAGATTTCAGCAGTAGAGAAAAAAAGAGGAGGAGAAAAGAGTAGGAAGTCAACCAGGATTCTTAAATTAACCCTAGCCACCAACCCCTCATTATAATTTATACTTAACTTAAAGGATGAGATATTACAAGGATGCCCTTAGTAGGGCGGCTACCAATGTAGCTAAACAGTCATAACTTAAAAACATAAACGAATGGGCCTAAAGCCCAATAACTTCCTAACTAAATAACTTAAAATAAGAATAAAAACAACTAGGCCCAACTCAACACTCCCCATCAAGTTGGGAGTAAATGTCACACATTCCCAACTTGCGTAGATCATGCTCCAGCTTGTTCTTTGCAACACCTTTTGTGAGAACATCAGCAAGCTGTAGATCAGAAGCAATGTATGGAAGACAAACTTCTCCAGAAGTTACCCTTTCTCTGATAAAATGTCTATCCACTTCAATGTGCTTAGTTCGATCATGCTGGACTAGGATATGGGCAATGTTAATTGTTGCCTGGTTATCACAGTGCAACATCATAGGTTCTTCTGCCTGTACACCAATTTCTTCTAATAGGGAACGGATTCAGAGAAGTTCTGAAACTCCATGTGCCATGGCCYTRTATTCAKCTTCAGCACTTGATCTTGCCACCACTGTTTGTTTCTTACTCTTCCACGAGACAAGGTTACCCCCAACAAGGGTGCACACTCCTGAAGTTGATCTCCTGTCATCAAG